GTTTCACTATGTTGGCCAGGCTGGTCTCGAACTCCTGACCTCAGGTGATCTGCCCGCCTTGGCCTCCCAAAGTGCTGGGATTACAGGTGTAAGCCACCTTGTCCGGCCTTATTCCTATTTCAAATAATTTTGCAGACAAACCTTCATCAAGTTTGTAATGACCAACTTTTTACTCTCAAGTTCAGAATAATTGAATTATACACACTGGGAGATACATAAGAACCAACAGGGAAAAAATGTTAGCAAGAAAATCAAGGCTACATCCCTATCTTGAGCATATTTCTAGGTTTTCCTAAAGATTGAAATATGCCCTCGTATTAGATTAAAAGACTCTATGCAAAACAGGCACTTTTTAGTTGTATAATTTGGGAGAAGTCATTTAACCCTTCAATTTCTGTACCTGTAAAATGGATAGCAATAACGAGATGATGTACATAAAGTGATGAAGCATATGATTAACCCTTAGTAAATTTTATAGATAGTGATAAAAGCAAGACCCCATCTCTACAGAAAATTAAAAAATTAGCCGGGGACTGTGCATGCACCTGTAGTCCCACCTACTCAGGAGGCTGAAGCAGGAAGATCCCTTGAGCCCAGGAGTTCAAGGTTGTAGTGATCTATGATAAGCTCCTGGACTCCAGCCTGAGCAGCAGAATAAGACCCTATCTCAGATAGGTAGGTAGATAGGTAGGTAGGTAGGTAGAGAGATAGATAGATAGATAGATACATACATACATACCTAGTTCCATGGATCCATCTCTGTGTATGGCTGTAGGTTCTAGTGTCTAGATTAGAATGGGGCTCCTTTAAAGATCTCAGTTGAGGATCTGGTGTTTAAATACTTCTTTTTTTTTTTTTTTTTTTTGAGACGGAGTTTCGCTCTTGTTGCCCAGGCTGGAGTGCAGTGGTACAATATCGGCTCACCGTAACCTCCCCCTCCCAGGTTCAAGCGATTCTCTTGCCTCAGCCTCCCAAGTAGCTGGGATTACAGGCATGTGCCACCACGCCCAGTTAATTTTGTATTTTTGGTAGAGACGGTGTTTCTCTATGTTGGTCAGGCTGGTCTCGAACTCCTGACCTCGGGTGATCCATCCACCTCTGCCTCCCAAAAGTTCTGGGATTACAGATGTGAGCCACTGCGCCAGCCTTAAATACTTCTTAAAATGAAAATTTTGTTTCTATTAGAGAATTGGCCTTCTCTTCTGAAATTTTACTTAGTTACATGTTGTTTGTGGTAACAGTAACCAAAGAATAAAAACAAAGGATTATACTGAATTACTTCCTGCACTGTTGCTTAGTAATTGATAACAGAAGTAGATCGTGAAACAAGATCACTGCAGAACACTTAACTGACTTCCAGTAAATATCCTTTGGATCAGAATCTCCAGGGACCTCAACTTGGCTCGCTTTTTTTTTTTTTTTTTTTTTTTGAGACGACGTCTCTTTCTGTTGCCCAGGCTGGAGTTCGAGTTCAGTAGTGCAATCTCGGCTCATTGCAACCTCAGCCTCCTAAGTAACTGGGACTACCGGCGTGTGCCACCACGCTCAGCTAATTTTTTGTATGTTTAGTAGAGATGGGGTTTCACCATGTTAGCCACGATGGTCTCAATCTCCCGACCTTGTCATCTGCCCGCCTCGGCCTCCCAAAGTTTGTTTTTTTTTGTTTTGTTTTGTTTTATTTTGAGATGGAGTCTTGCTCTGTCACTCAGGCTAGAGTGCAGTGGCGTGATCTTGGCTCACTGCACCCTCCACCTCCCAGGTTCAAGTGATTCTACCACCTCAGCCTCGCAAGTAGCTGGGACTACAGGTGTGCACCACCATGCCCGGCTAATTTTCGTATTTTTAGTAGAGACAGGGTTTCACTATGTTGGCCAGGGTGGTCTTGAACTCCTGACCTTGTGATCCGCCCACCTCAGCCTCCCAAAGTGCTGGGATTAAGGGCGTGAGTCACCGTGCCTGGCATGCCTCTTTCGTAACCACATTTCAGCTCTCTCAGTCCTCTCAAAGCCCCCCTTATTACTTATTTCTTGTATATAATAGTTGCTTACTATTGGGCCTGAATGGAATTTGTTCCAATACAGTCTTTCTTTTCAAGGGAGCCATGTGTGTCTTTGTGGACCCAAGTGCTATTGATTCATTCAGTGAATATTTTTGGAAAGCTATGTACTAGGCATTCTTCCATGAACTTGGGGCACATGAGTGAACAAAACAGACAAAATTCTAGAAGGAACACTATATTGCACGTCTCTGTGCCCCACCTCATAACTCAAATTCTGTAGGACTCCTTAGAGCTGTATTGTTCTGTATCGTAACAACTAGCTTCATGTTTAAATTAATTAGAAGTAAATTAAATAAAAAATTCCTCAGTTACACTAGTCATATTTCAAGTACTCAGTAGTCACTATGGCTAGCGGCTACTGTGTTGGACAGAGCAGATATAGAACATTTCCATCATCACAGAAAGTTCTACTGGACAGTGCTGCCTTACAGGTTGCCAGTGGGATTAGCCCTACCCACCACTCCATCCAGTTGCTCACGGTTAATACCAATGCAATTGACTGGTTAATGGACCTTTGTACCATTTTTATCTAATTTCCTACTTTACCCTCCCTAGACCCCCCAATCCCTGTGCCCAGAGTTCACACCCCAAGATTAATTACTTGCAAGCTCTTATCCTGGACCCTGCTTTCTAGGGAGAATCCAGCTTAGACAAGCACTCCTAGTAGCCTGTCAATTTTATGAACAACCATTGATTTATAAAGGTTTTTTTAAGAAGTAAGAAACAGGCCAGGCGTGGTGGCTCAGGCCTGTAATCCCAGCACTTTGGGAGGCCAAGGCGGGCAGATCACAAGGTCAGGAGATCGAGACCATCCTGGCTAACACAGTGAAACCCTGTCTCTACTAAAAATACAAAAACAAAAAAAAATTAGCTGGGCGTGGTGATGGGCAGCTCTAGTCCCACCTACTCGGAGGCTGAGGTGGGAGAATGGCGTGAACCCGGGAGGTGGAGCTTGCAGTGAGCCAAAATTGTGTCACTGCACTCCAGCCTGGGCGACAGAGTAAGACTCCATTTCAAAAAAAAAAGAGAGGTAAGAAACATTGTCACATTAAATATACATGTCAGTTGTAAGAAGCATTAAATTTCAGAAATGTTGGAACACAGGAATAAAATTATTTTGTAGTCTAAATATCCTGGCCCATGACTTCTTTAAATGTTTATTTAACGCCATGTCCTTTGCTAAACAAAACAAAACAACCCCCTGGTTTTGGGTGGTTATTTCTATATACTCTAATTAGTGATTTTGGTTTTGTTTTGTTTTGTTTTTGAGACAGAGTTTTGCTCTTGTTGCCCAGGCTGGGGTGCAATGGCGCAATCTCGGCTTACCGCAACCTCTGCCTCCTGGGTTCAAGCAATTCTCCTGCCTCAGCCTCCCGAGTAGCTGGGATTATAGGCACGCACCACCACCATGCCTGGCTAATTTTGTATTTTCAGTAGAGATGGGATTTCTCCATGTTGGTCAGGCTTGTCTCGAACTCCCGACCTCAGGTGATCCGCCCACCTTGGCGTCCCAAAGTGCTGGGATTACAGGCGTAAGCCACTGTGCTGTGCCTGGCTGATTTTTGGGTTTTAAGTGATGAATACTGAGTGTCAGTTTAGGAAAACAGTAGGTGGCCATGGGGTTAGTTTAGGTTTGATACTTCATGCTGTGACTCTGGTTATGCTCAACTATGTGACTCCCCTTAACCTGAGTCCACCTATAAGTACTTCTGAAAGCCTAGCTTTGCACTGTGCTTGTTATGTCAAACTGATGAGGAGGATAGGGGAATGGGAAAACACAAAATATGCTGCTTTTTAATTTATCAGTTGTAATAATGCTTCTGTGTATCCCAAGAAATCATTCTTAAGTGTTCTTATTACCGTGGGTCTCAGGGTACACCAATAGAGGCCAGTGTAGAGCCTCTGACTCCCAGTCTGTGTATGACTTATAGAAAGATACTTTTTTTCAATCTGCTTAGCTAGTAGATCAGTAAAACCCTTCGCCTGCACTCTCTGTTGACACCCAGCCAGGAGGGAGGAGGATATGCTGGGTCCAACTAGTAATTGTAAATGAAGCAGGATGATGAATCACAGGACTTTGAGCTGTTCAAATTTAATTCCCATTATGTATTTTCTTGAAACTGGAGCATTAATGAGGGATTACTGACAATGGAAAATGAATATAAATAAAGTTAAGGCCTTCATATGTATTTCATTCATGCTTGAGTCTTACCTGGTACTCATAAATCAATCCAGGATTATGAGGGTAGATGTTGACTTCAGTCTGGTTAAAATGAAGTACAGCATGAGCATTGAGTAGACATGAAGCAGATGTGGACTTTTTCTTTTTCTTTTTCTTTTCTTTTTTTTTTTTTTTTGAGACGGAGTCTTGCTCTGCTGCCCAGGCTCGAGTACAGTGGCCGGATCTCAGCTCACTGCAAGCTCCGCCTCCCGGCTTTACGCCATTCTCCTGCCTCAGCCTCCTGAGTAGCTGGGACTACAGGCGCCCGCCACTTTGCCCGGCTAGTTTTGTTTTGTTTTGTTTTGTTTTGTTTGTTTTTTTAGTAGAGACAGGGTTTCACCGTGTTAGCCAGGATGGTCTTGATCTCCTGACCTAGTGATCCGCCCGTCTCGGCCTCCCAAAGTGCTGGGATTACAGGCTTGAGCCACCGCGCCCGGCCAAGATGTGGACTTTTTCAAGTCGTAAGTTTATCAAGAGAGAAGAGGGTCAAGGACAGAAGCCTGGGGGAGGCCTACATTGATTCAGCAGGAGAGTTCCCTATCTTAGCAGCAAAGGAAGGAGACAGTTTCTAGGAGGAGTATGTTTGAATTATTGATTATTCCTTCCAATCTAACTTCAGTGTTACTGTAGGTTATCTGAAGTTGATTATGTCTACTATATACTGCAGGGATTATTATTAAGCAAATAATGATAGACTTGCTTATCCTGTTGTAATTTTAGTTCCTTGGGGGAGAGGAAGAAGCTGCTTAGTTATATCCAGCGATCGGGTCAAATCCACGTTGATACAATGAAGGTAAGAGGATCTGAGTTTGTTATGTTTTTTGAATGTAAAGTGATATAACTCAATTATGTAAAATTCATTTTGAAGAGAATAGGAGGAAATCTGCTTCTCAGTGATGGAACTGCGAGTAGTAGATCTTTTCTTTTTTTTTTGTTTGAGACGGAGTCTCACTCTGTTGCCCATTCTGGAGTGCAGTGGCGCAATCTCGGCTCACTGCAAGCTCCGCCTCCTGGGTTCACGCCATTCTCCTGCCTCAGCCTCCCGAGTAGCTGGGACTACAAGCTCCCGCCACCATGCCCGGCTAATTTTTTGTATTTTTAGTAGAGACGGGGTTTCACTGTGTTAGCCAGGATGGTCTCGATCTCCTGACCTCCTGATCCACCCGCCTTGGCCTCCCAAAGTTCTGGGATTACAGGCGTGAGCCACCGCGCCTGGCGAGTAGTGGATCTTTTCTAAACTTTCTGCACTTTCTAAAATGAGCACAGAGTATTTAAATCAGAAGAAGAACTAAAATATGTTATGCATACAGAAAAGCATAAGTAGACCACTACCCAACTTGTCCAATCTTAATATTTTGCCTAATTTGCTTCAAGTCTGTTATTTTTAGAGCAAAATATTAGAAATTATTGAAGACCTCCTTTGTACATTCTTTTTTATTTTTATTTTTATTTTTTAATGTAATTGGGTCTTGCTCTGTCATCCAGGCTGGAGTACAGTGGTGCAATCTCAGCTCACTCCAACCTCCGTCTCCCTGGCTCAAGTGATCCTTCCATCTCAGCCACCCCAGTAGCTTGAACTATGGGTGCACGCCACCACACCTGGCTAATTTTTGTATTTTTTTTTTTTTTTTGATATGGAGTCTGCTCTGTTGCCCAGGCTGGAGTGCAGTGGCACGATCTTATAGAGCAGGACCTGAAATAACTCAAATACATACTTTAATTTTGCTTTTGCAAGTTACATGTTGGCCAGGCTGACCTCAAACTCCTGACCTCATGATCTGCCTGCCTCGGCCTTCCAAAGTGTTGGGATTACAGGCATGAGCCACTGTGCCCGGCCAATAATATATTTTTGAAGTAATATTTAAGGCAGTCAGTGGTTTCAATTGCCCACTTTTATTCTTTTTTCTATTTTTCTTTAAAAAGAAAAATAGTTTTTTTCTTTTTGTTGACCAGGCATGGTGGCTCACACAGTAATCCCAGCACTTTGGGAGGCTAAGGTGGGTGGATCACTTGAGCCCCTAAGTTCAAGACCAGCCTGGGCAACATGGTGAAACTCCATCTACAAACAATAGAAAAATTAGCTGGGTGTGGTGGTGCACACTTGTATTCCCAGCTACTTGGGAGGCTGATTTAGGAAAATCACCTGAACCCACGGAGGTCGAGGCTTCAGTGAGCCATGATCACACCACTGTACTCCAGCCTGGGCAACAGAGTGAGACCCTGTCTCAAAAAAAAAAAACCCACCAACATTATTTAACCTTATTTATAAATTATAAATGATAGTTGTTGGAAACAGATTTTCAAACTACCGAATCACTGCCTAGTAATGAAATCAATACCTTAAATGAATTTAACTTCATCAGCAGTGCAGTTCAGCAAAGAATTCACCTAGTTTGCTACTCAGTTGTAGCCCTCAAGGATTTCTTCCCTAATCTGATACCTACCTAACTTGATACTTAAAACATAAATAGCTTTATTGAGATATAATTCACAAGTTGTATGATTCACTCATTTTTAGTGTGCAAGACAGTGCTTTTTAGAAAGTTCACAGTGTTGTTCAATCACACACAATTTTATTTGAGTTGTAAGAGTTCTTTACATGTTCTGGATGTAAATCCTTATGGGAGATATGATACACAAATAATTTTTCCTAGTCTGTGGGTTGTCTTTTTACTTTTTTGGTGGTGGTCTTTGGATCATAAAAGTTTTAAGTTTTTATGTAATCCAATTTATATTTTTTTGTTCATTTGTGTCTTGTACTTTTAGTGTCATATTTAAGAAACCATTGCCAAACCCAAGGTCACCATGGTTTGTTCTTGTCACAGTGTTCTTTATGCTAAATTTAGTTCAGTTGGCCTCTGAAGCTGAGATTGTGTAATGGTGAAGAGGGAGTGCAGTGTTTGACATAATGAGGACTAATTTTTCAAATGTATCAATGAATCTTTTTTTTTTTTTGAGACAGAGTCTTGCTCTGTTGCCCAAGCTGGAGTGCAGTGGCACAATCTCAGCTCACTGCAACCTTCGCCTCCCAGGTTCAAGTGATTTTCCTGCCTCAGCCTCCTGAGTAGCTGGGATAACAGGCGCCCACCATCACTCCTGGCTAATTTTTGTATTTTTAGTAGAGATGGGATTTTGTCATGTTGGTCAGGCTGGTCGCGAACTCCTGACCTCAGGTAATCCACCTGCCTCAGCCTCCCAAAGTGCTGGCATTACAGGCGTGAGCCACCATGCCCTGCCAGAAACCCTATCTCTACCAAAAAAAGAAAAATTAGACAGGCATGGTATAGTTCCAGCTACTTGGGAAGCTGAGGTGGGAGGATCGCTTGAACTTGGGAGGCAGAGGTTGCAGTGAGCCATGATTGTACCACTGTACTCCAGCCTATGTGATAGAGCTAGACTCTGTCTCAAAAAAAACAAAAACAAAAAAAAGACAGTTATTACAACCTGAAAAATTTACAGTGAAGGCTTTTAGGTCCTTAAATGGTTTAAAAGTAGATTTTAGCCACGCGCTGTGACTCGTGCCTATAATTCCAGCACTTTGGGAGGCTGAGGCGGGCGGATCATGAGGTCAGGAGTTCGAGACCAGTTTGGCCAATATGGTGAAACCCCGTCTCAACTAAAAATACAAAAAAAAATTAGCTGGGCATGGTGGTGCACGCCGGTAGTCCCAGCTCCTTAGGAGGCTGAGGCAGGAGAATCGCTTGAACCCAGGAGGCGGAGGTTGCAGTGAGCCAAGACTGCACCACTGAACTCCAGCCTAGGTGACAGAGTGAGACTCTGTCTCAAAAATAAAGAAATAGCTGGGTGCTGTGGTCTCTATCTCCTAACATCGTGATCCGTTCACCTCAGCCTCCCAAAGTGCTGGGATTACAGACATGAGCCACCGCACCTGGCCATATTTGTATATCTAAACTTAGAAAAGGCAGTAAAACTATGGTAAAAATGATTTTTTTTTTTGTAAACCCTTTAGGAGGCCAAAGGTGCAATGATTGCTTGAGGCCAGGAGTTGGAGACCAGCCTGGGCAATATAGCAAGACCTTGTCTCCACAAAGAATAAAAATAAATTAGCTAGGCATGGTGGTACATGCCTGCAGTCCCAGCTATTTGGGAGGCTGAGGGGGGAGGATCCCTTGGGCCTCAGAGTTTGAGGCTACAGTAAGCTATGGTTGTGACTGTGAATAGCCAACGCACTGCAGCCTGGTGAGAAAACGAGACCCTGTCTCTAACAAAAACAACACACACACACAAATACATCGTTCAGCTGTACAAAATTATTTTCTTTCTTTTTATCTTCTTTTTTTGAGACACAGTTTCTCTCTGTCGCCCAGGCTGAAGTGTTGTGGCACAATAGTAGGTTACTGCAGCCTTGATGCCCTGGGACTCAAGGGATCTTCCTACCTCAGCCTCTAGAGTACCTGGGACTACAGATGTGTGCCACTGCATTTTTTTTTTTTTTTTTTTTTTTGAGATGGAGTCTCGCTCTGTCGTCCATTCTGGAGTGCAGTGGCACAATCTCGGCTCACTGCAAGCTCTGCCTCCCAGGTTCACTCCATTCTCCTGCCTCAGCCTCCCGAGTAGCTGGAACCACAGGCTCCCGCCACACGCCTGGCTAATTTCTTTGTATTTTTAGTAGAGACGGGGTTTCACCGTGTTAACCAGGATGGTCTCGATCTCCTGACCTCGTGATCCGCCCGCCTCGGCCTCCCAAAGTGCTGGGATTACAGGCTTGAGCCACCGCGCCCGGCATTTTTTTTTTTTTTTAAGAGATGAGGTCTCACTATGTTGCCCAGACTAGTCTCAAACTCTTGGCCTCCCAAAGTGCTGGAATTACAGATGTGAGCCCCTGCACTCCGACCTGCATGATTTCTTATCTATATGGTAGAAGAATTTCCATCTTTCTTTCTTTCCCTCCCTCCCTTCTTTCCTTTCTGTTTTAATGATGAGTACTGTACAGACACATTTAGAAAAAAAAAATTGGGCCGGGCGCGGTGGCTCAAGCCTGTAATCCCAGCACTTTGGGAGGCCGAGACGGGCGGATCACGAGGTCAGGAGATCAAGACCATCCTGGCTAACACGGTGAAACCCCGTCTCTAGTAAAAAAAATACAAAAAAATAGCCGGGCGAGGTGGCGAGCGTCTGTAGTCCCAGCTACTCGGGAGGCTGAGGCAGGAGAATGGCGTAAACCCGGGAGGCGGAGCTTGCAGTGAGCCGAGATCCGGCCACTGCACTCCAGTCTCGGCGACAGAGCGAGACTCCGTCTCAAAAAAAAAAAAAAAATTTAGGCTGGGTGCTGTGGCTCATGCCTGTAATCCCAACACCTTGGGAGGCCAAGGTGGGCGGATCACTTTAGGTCAGGAGTTTGAGGTCAGCCTGGCCAACACAGAGAAACCCCGTCTCTACTCAAAATACAAAAATTAGCTGAGTGTGGTGGCACACCCCAGTAGTCCCAGCTACTCGGGAGGCTGAGGCAGGAGAATAACTTGAACTTGGGAGGCAGAGGTTGCAGTGAGCCGAGATTGTGCCACTGCACTCCAGCCTGGGTGACACAGTGAGACTCCGTGTCAAAAAAAAAAAAAATTTAGACATAATACCTATAGTGATATGGCTTACATGATGTGAATGAATGTGTTTAAATCGAAATGAATATGTATATTTAACTTGAATACAAGACAAAATTATTAAAGATTAAGTCATATACATAATAAAAAAATCAAAATCCTTATTTTTCTGTTATTCGCATCCATTAAGAAGAAGTAAAATATACTCAGATCCAATATACTTGATGTGTCTGATAGTGATACCTAAATAAGGTAATGATGTTAACATCTTGTCATTTTCCTTAGTATTTTTACTTGAAAAATCAAATAGCTTTGACTTTGCACTATAATTAGGAATGGCTGCACACAAATTTCAGGTGGACTTACATGTTATTACTCATATTAATTAAACATAATTTTCCAGGTTATTAATGATCCTATCCATGGCCACATTGAGCTCCACCCTCTCCTCGTCCGAATCATTGACACACCTCAATTTCAACGTCTTCGATACATCAAACAGCTGGGAGGTGGTTACTATGTTTTTCCAGGAGCTTCACACAATCGATTTGAGCATAGTCTAGGGTAAGAAGGGAACGGGGTGGGGAACTTGCAGTTTTTAGGTATTTCCTCTGTCTCATGAAATAGTTATCTTAGGCTAGGCATGGTGGCACACGCCACCACTCCCGGCTAATTTTGTATTTTTAGTGGAGGTAGAGTTTCATCATGTTGGCCAGGCCGGTCTCGAACTCCCGACCTCAGGTGATCCGCCCACCTCAGCCTCCCAAAGTGTTGGGATTACAGACATGAGCCACCACGCCTGACCCTCTTCTTTCTGTTTATGTATTTGACTACTCTAGGTACCTCATCTTAATGAAATCATACAATATTTGTCTTTTTGTCACTGGCATATTTCACTTAGCATAATTTCCTCAAAGTTCATCCATGTTGTAGCATGTGTCAGTATTTCCTTCTTTTTTATTAGTTTTTTAATTAATTTATTTTTTATTTCCTTTTTAAGGTTGAATAATATTTATCATATGTATACACCACATTTTGTTTATTCATTTGTTGATGGATACCTGTTGCTTTTACTTCTTGGCTATTTTGAGTAGTGCTGCTATGAACATGTCGGTACAAATATATTTTCTTTCTTTTTTTGGGGGGGTGCGGTACGGAGTCTTGTTCTGTTGCCCAGGCTGGAGTGCAATGGTGCGATCTTGGCTCACTGCAACCTGTGCCTCCTGGGTTCAAACAATTCTCCTGCCTCACCCTCCCAAGTAGCTGAAATTACAGGTACCTGCCACGACGCTCAGCTAATTTTTGTATTTTTTAGTAGTGATAGGGCTTCAACATGTTGGCCAGGCTGGTCTCAAACCCCTGACCTCAAGTGATCTGCCCGCCTCAGCCTCCCAAAGTGCTGGTATTACAGGCGTGAGCCACTGAGCCCAGCCAATCTTTCCAAGACCCTGCTTTGTTACTGTGGGTGTATACCCAGAAGTGAAATTGCTAAATCACTGTGGTAATTCCATTTTTAATTTTTGTGGAGCACCCATACTGATTTCCATGGCAACTACACCATAATACATCCCCACTAACAGTGCACAGGGTTCCAATTTCTCCACATCATGTCCAACACTTGTTATTTTCTGGTTTTCTTTTTTTAACAGTAGCTATCCTAAGGGGTGTGAAGTGGTATCTCACTGTGGTTTTGATTTGCATTCCTCTAATGATTGGTGATACTGAGCCAGAGGTCCTGCTTTTGGGATTCCGTTTGTGTGTGTACCTGCCTCGTTCTGAAATAGACTGTTGAGTAAAGTTGCCCTGAAGATACGTTAGAATATTTGAGGAAGTTCTTGAGGACCAGAACCATCACTCCTCTTGCAAACGGAAGAGTGACTTTTTGTGTTTTTGCTCTGCAGGGTGGGGTATCTAGCAGGGTGTCTAGTTCGCGCCCTGGGTGAAAAACAACCAGAGCTGCAGATAAGTGAACGAGATATTCTCTGTGTTCAGATTGCTGGACTTTGTCATGATCTCGGTAAGCCGTATGAAGAGACAAAGTTGTTATGTAAAATCATAACATATGTTACCTCTCTTTGACATTAAAAAATCAGATCAACCAAGAGAATATGGAAGTTGTATTTTAATTCTTCAGTTGACATTAGTATAAATGTACTGTTGCTTCTTCCTAGAATGATTCATAAGTAGAAAACATTGCTATTTTATATTCTTGGCATCTTTCAGTGAATTTCTCATGTTAGACATCTTTGCTAAAAGTGTTTTTTTGTTTGTTTGTTTTGTTTTGTTTTGAGACGGAGTCTTGCTCTGTTGCCCAGGCTGGAGTGTAGCGGCTCATTATCGGCTCACTGTAACCTCTGCTTCCTGGTTTCAAGCAATTCTCGTGCTTCAGCCTCCCGAGTAGCTGGGATTACGGGCATGCACCATCATATCCAGCTAATTTTTGTATTTTTAGCAGAGACAGAGTTTCACCATGTTGGCCAGGCTGGTCTCGAACTCCTGAACTCAGGTGATCCACCAGCCTCAGCCTCCCAAATCCCAAAGCGCTGAGATTACAGGCAGGAGCCACCGTGCCCGGCCATCATCTTTATTACAGGTTATATGAAAGGGCGTTTTGATAATGAGTTTTTCTTACTACTGTTTTTAGGATGGTGTGTGAATTTTACTTTTCTTTTATCCTCCTTTTTAAATAAAATCACCATTTTTCCTACAGTTATTTGGTCAAATCCATTTTTTTTCATATTTATAATCTCTAATCTGCCCAAGTGGATTAACATATTTAGAGAACTCCTTGTGTTTTCTGATCCACGTGAAGTCTTGGGCCACTTTAATCCAAGCAAAAGAGTATCATCCTTTTCCTGTGACAGAGAGAAAGGGGACTGTCCCATTTATTTATTTATTTATTTATTTATTTATTTGAGTCTTGCTCTGTCACACAGACTGGAGTGCAGTTGGCACAATCTCGGCTCACTGCAATCTCACGTCCTGGATTCAAGTGACTCTCCTGCCTCAGCTTCCCAAGTAGCGCCTGGCTCATTTTTTTGTATTTTTAGTAGAGATGTAGTTTCATCATGTTGTTGAAACTGGTCTCGAACTCCTGATCTCAAGTAATTCACCTCCTTCGGCCTCCCAAAGTGTTGGGAATACAGGCATGAGTCACCACGTTGGGCCGGGACTGTCCCTTTTAAATCATGGGGGTTTTTACCTCTATCCTTATAGTTTATTCCTACTTATTCAGGGACCCTGAGAGTTTGTGTGTACCCTCAGGGCAGGGGAAGGGAGGTGCCCCTGTTTAGATAGCTAGATACTTAAAGCAAGTAGGCTCTCTTTTTATGTCCCCCTGGAAACTTCCAAAGAACCAATACCAGCCCCTAAATGATAAATTTGATGGATTCTTGGTATTTTGAGAGAGAATCATTGGGAAACCTTTACCAGTCCCCAGGAGCCTGAGCACTGCATTAGCCAGCCTTTATGTGTAGCCTATGACTTGCAGAGAAGGGCCAGGGCTAGTCTAGGTAGACTTCCCTCTCCAGTTAAGTGGCTCACTTCTTTTCTTTTCTTTTTTTTTTTCAGATGCAGTCTCACTCTGTTGCCCAGGCTGGAGTGCAATTGTGCGATCTTAGCTTACCACAACCTCACCTCCTGGGTTCAAGCAATTCTCCTGCCTCAGCCTCCTGAGTAGTTGGGACTACAGGCACACGCCACCATGCCCAGCTAATTATTATAATTTTAGTAGAGACAGGGTTTCACCATATTGGTCAGGCTGGTCTCAAACTCTAGACCTCAGGTGATCCATGTGCCTCAGCCTCCCAAAGTGCTGGGATTACAGGCATGAGCCACCACACCCGGCCAAAGATAGATTTTTTTAAGCTTGGGAGTAATAAGATAAATTCTAATTTTTTCTTCTGCACCCCAGTGGATTTTCTTTCTTTTTTTTTTTTTCCCCCAAGACAGAATCTCACTCTGTTGCCCAGGTTGGAGTACAGTGGCACAATCGCAGCTCACTGCAACCTCCGCCTCCCGGGTTTAAGCGATTCTCCTACCTCAGCCTCCTGAGTAGGTAGGATTACAGGTGCCTGCCACCACACTCGGCTAATTTTTGTATTTTTAGTAGAGACGGGGTTTCACCATCTTGGCCAGGCTTGTCTCGAACTCCTGACCTCATGATCCACCTGCCTTGGCCTCCCAAAGTGCTGGGATTACAGGCATGAGCCACTGTGCCAAGCCCCTTTTTTAAAAATTTTGATGTGGAGTCTTGCTCTGTCGCCCAGGCTGGGGTTCAGTGGTGTGATCTCGGCTCACTGCAAGCTCCGCCTCTTGGGTTCACGCCATTCTCCTGCCTCAGCTTCCTCAGTAGCCGGGACTACAGGCGCCCGCCACCAAGCCCAGCCAATTTTTTGTATTTTTAGTAGAGACAGGGTTTTTACCATGTTGGCCAGGCTGGTCTCGAACTCCTGACTTGAAGTGATCCACCTGCCTCAGCCTCCCAAAGTGCTGAGATTACAGGCATGAGCCACCACACCTGGCCCCAGTGATTTTCCTGAAACTGCTATTTTAATCCAGATATTTTCAATCTGAAGATTTCAAAAAGTTTTTGGCATTAACATTCTTTTCAGTTACATGGAATTGTCCATTTATCAAGCCCTGCGTGGTGGTGCATGCCTGTAGTCCCAGCTATTCAGGTGGCTGAGGTAGGAGTATGACTTGAGGTCAGGAGTCCAAGGCTACAGTGCATAATGATCATGCTTGTGAATAGCCACTGCACTCCAGCCTGAACAACATAGCAGGACTCTGTCTCTTCATAAAACAACACAAACTGCCCTTTTATCAGATTTATGTAAGCCCTGGTGACTGGAGACCGCTTGATGGAGAGCTTACTTTTCCATGTTTCTGCTTCCTGTTCTCCTGTTTTAGAAATAGGAAGGGTTTGTCCCTTTTTGTGATTGTATTTTTAGATTATTAATTTCTGTTGCTATTCAAGTTAAACTAAAAAGATTAAAGAATTCAGTTTGGCCAAGTGTGGTGGCTCACGCCTATAATCCCAGCACTTTGGAAGGCTGAGATGGGCGGATCACCTGAGGTCAGGAGTTCGAGACCAGCCTGACCAACATGGAGAAACCCCATCTCTACTAAAACTGCAAAATTAGCTGGGTGTGGTGGCACGCGCCTGTAATCTCAGCTACTCGGGAGCCTGAGGCACGAGAATTGCTTGAACCTGGGGAGTGGAGGTTGTGTTGAGCCAAGATCGCACCACTACACTCCAGCCTGGGCAACAAGAGCGAAACTCCGTCTCAAAAAAAAAAAAAAAAAAAGAAAGAAAAAAGTTTATGTTATTTTACAGATGTTTCTCTTGTTCTAAGGCTGATTTTGTTTTTAAGGTCATGGGCCATTTTCTCACATGTTTGATGGACGATTTATTCCACTTGCTCGCCCGGAGGTGAAATGGACGGTATGTATTCACACATTCAATAGTCAATAAAAAGAAAGATTATTTAAGCAGGTTATTCAGTTAATTTATCTGTTTGGTTCCACTACTGTGTTATAAAATACTTCCCCATTACAGTGTCCAGGGTGCTTTCATTCACATATGTATATATGTTTTTGTTTGGTCCTCACAGTAGTCTGTAAGGAAGTTATCATTATCTCCCTTTTTACAAATAAAGGAACTGGAAACTCTTGGATGTGTATTGATGCGTCAAAAATCACAAAGCTGTTAACTATTGGAATCAGCAATACAAAACCGGTTGCCAGTTTAATGCTCCTCCTGCTCAATTGTACTACTGTATGTTAAAAGGCCAACTCCAATTCTGACACATTTGGTATGACCATGAACTAACTGTTACCAGCCAAGTCATATATATCAAGTGAATCATTTTAAAATTAGGCATTTGCAGGTGGCTGTCTCATATTTTGGGATCAATTTTTGAGAAGTAAAATTAGGTTGGTTTTTACTACACTGTATTTCTGGAACGGGAATAGAAAATGATATTAATATATATTGAAAACTTCTTACATGTCAACCACTTTTTTATCTCTTTCTCTCTCTTTTTTTGAGGTATAGTTCACACACAATAAGTTGTCCAGATCTTAAGTTCAGTGAGTTTTGACAGGTGTATGCATCCATATGACTATTACCCAGTCAGGATATAGAACATTTTCATCTTCCTGAAAAATTCCCATGTTCTTTTTCCCAGTCAATTCCCACTCCCCCTCACCCCACCATCACCTTCTGATTTTCACAAACATAAATGAATTTTGTTGTTCTTAGACTTGATTAAGCCGAATCATATAGGAGGTTCTATTTTATGCCTTGCTTTATTTACTCCACATAATGGTTTTGAGATTTGTTCATGTTGTGTGCCTCAGTAGTTGATCCTTTTTTTTATCACCTATGTGATGTGACATTGTGCGAATAAGTCACAATTTGTTTACCCTTTCTTGTTTTGTTGGCATTTGGATTGTTTTCAGGTTTTGACTGTTATAAATAAGGTTGTTGTGCACATTATCGTATAACATTTTGGTAGAAATACATTTTCTGTGTTGTAGTGTGGAAAGTTAATTACGTTTTTAAAACAAGAAATATGTTCAGCAGAAATGTATTATTTTATTTTATAAACATAAAAATAGATAAAATAAAGAAACACATTTTCACTTCGCTTAGGTAAATACCGAGGAGTTAGAATTGCTGGGTCATATGGTAGATGTGTATTTAATTCTGTAAGAAACTACCAGGGTTTTCCAATGTGGCTGTACCATTTTACACTCCCATCCACAACATATTGGAGTTCCAGTTGTTTTATAGCCTCACCAACATTTGGCCTTTCAGATTAGCCCTTCTAATGAGTGTCAAATGGTATTTCATGGTTCGATTTTCTAATGTATGTTGAATACTATTTCCTGTACTTTGTATTTTGTTATTGACATATCTTCTTCTGCAAAGAACTCTTAGCATTTTACTCATTTAAAAAGTTTGATTGCTTGCTCTTTGATTATTGAGTTGTGGAATTCTTTATATATGTATGGTTAGGTATATGTATTGTGAATATTTTTCCCCAGTGTCTGGCTTGGCCAATTCATTTTTTCATGGTGCCTTTTGAAAAACAGACATTTTCAATTTTGATGAAGTACTCTGGTTCTTCAAGCCAGTAAAATGGGTAGTTTCTTACCACTTTTTCTGTCTTGGGGCCTGCCCTGAGGCTCAAGACCATAAAACCGGAATGTCACCTAGTACTTCTCCCTTCTAAGTATTGAGGTCTAACATCCGCTTGGTTTTGGTCTCTCTCCAGGACCTTCAGGGAGTTGTCCAGAGCTTATAGTTGTTTTCTCCTGCAGTTGATCTAATAGGATCTACTCAATCATTACCAAGTATTTTCCTTTAAGTATTTTGCCTTTCATGTTTAAATCCTTAGCTCATGTACAATTTATTTTTGTGTAAGTAAATGGGAGAACTCTTTTTTTCTTTTTTTTGAGATGGAGTCTCACTCTATCACCCAGGCTGGAGTGCAGTGGTGCAATCTTTGCTCACTACAACCTCCGCCTCACGGGTTCAAGCAATTCTCCTGCCTCAGCCTCCTGAGTACCTGGTAACACAGGCGTGTGCTACCACACCCGGCTAACTTTTGTATTTTTAGTAGAGATGGGGTTTCACCATGTTGGTTAGGCTGGTCTCGAACTCCTGATTTCATGATCCACCCGCCTAGGTCTCCTAAAGTGCTGGGATTACAGATGTGAGCCACCGTGCCTGGCCAAGAAATCTAATTTTTAAATAGTTCATCCTATCCCCACTGACCGTAATACCAACCCCAACATTTATTAACTTCCCATATATAATGAATCATTCTGCATTCTGTTCTGTTTCCACACTTGTTACTTGGGGAGGAAAAAAAAAAGAAAAGAAATTTGTATCTGAAAAATATGAGCCCCTTTACATGATCAGGCCCAGAGAGGCCTCGAAATAGAACAGCAATCATGTCACACCCCCTGGAGCTAAATAACTATTACCTCTTGAAGTCAGCTGCTGTGTGGGATGCCAGGTAACCATATAATGCCATACACCCTGTACTTCATAAGATGTAGCCAATCACTAACTAACGTTACTTCTGTAAGCCAGTGAACACTCCTAACAGCTTTCTTTTTTTTTTTTTTTTTTTTTTGAGACGGAGTCTCGCTCTGTCGCCCAGGCTGGAGTGCAGTGGCCGGATCTCAGCTCACTACAAGCTCCGCCTCCCGGGTTTACGCCATTCTCCTGCCTCAGCCTCCCGAGTAGCTGGGACTACAGGCGCCCGCCACCTCGCCCGGCTAGTTTTTTGTATTTTTTAGTAGAGACGGGGTTTCACCGTGTTAGCCAGAATGGTCTCGATCTCCTGACCTCGTGATCCGCCCGTCTCGGCCTCCCAAAGTGCTGGGATTACAGGCTTGAGCCACCGCGCCCGGCCTCCTAACAGCTTTCGTGATCACCTCCTCTTTGTGATCTCCTCCTCCTGATTTGTGCCCTTTTCTTTTTCTTTTCTTTCTCTCCTTCCTTTCTGTCTTTCTCTCTCTTTTTCTCTTCCTCACTTTCTCTCTTTCTCACTCTTTCTCTCTCTTTTTCCCTTCCTACCTTCCTTTCCTTCCCTTCCTTCCCTTCTTTCCCTTCCTTTTCTTTCCCCCTTCCCCTCCCCTTCCCCCTCCCCTCCCCCCCCCTCCCCCCTCACCCTCCCTTTCCCCTACCCTTCTCCTTCCCTTCCCCTTCCCCTCCCCTTCTCTCCTCTCACCTCCCCTCCACAGGATCTTGCTTTGTCACCCAGAGTGGAGTGCAGTGGTGCAAACACAGCTTACTGCAACCTTGACTTCCAAGGCTCAAGCAATTCTCCCACTTCATCCTCCCAAGTAGCTGGGACTACAAGCACACACTACCATGCCCAGCTAATTTTTTGTATTTTTTGTAGAGGCGGGTCTCACTGTGTTGCCCAGGCTGGTCTCAACTGCCGAGCTCAAGCTATCTGCCCACCTTGGCCTCCTAAAGTGCTGAGATTACAGGCCTAAGCCACCACACCTGGCCAGTCCTTTTTTCTTTAATAACTTGAGCCTCTCTTTTGTTCTCCCCAAGCATTCCCCAAGGCAATTTGTAAATGTGTCCTCAACCTTGGCCCAAGTAAACTCTCTATATTAAATATTCCTCAGCTCCTTCCTTTTAGGTTGACATACTTTATAATAAGATTTATGTTTTTATTTTTTCTTTTCTGTGGAGAACAGTCTTACTATGTTGCCCAGGCTGGTCTTGACCTCCAGACTCATGCAATCCTTGCACCTCAGCCTCCCAAGTAGCTGAGACCACAGGCCTGCACCATCACACCTGGGTTTTTATTTGTAGAGATGGAGTCTTACTATGTTGCCTAGGCTGGCCACGAAAGTCATACATCTTTGTTATACTTACTCCTAAGTTCCTTATAATTTTAGTTATTAGTGTTATTATGGTCTGTGCTAGCTTTATGAAACTTATTTTTTTCTGTTTGCCATTATATTCACAGTTGGCATTGATATATTTAAAACTACTCTTTTGAAAATCCCTTACTTATTTTATTTATTTATTTATTTATTTTTATTTTATTGTTTTTGAGACAGGGTCTTGCCTTGTCACGCGGGCAGGAGCTCAGTGATGTCATCTAAGCTCACTGCAACCTCCGCCTCCCAGGTTCAAGTGATCCACCTCATTTTTATTTTTTAAAATACTCTCTCTTCATATATAAATTTTTTTTCTGAATCATTAGAAAGTAAGTTTTGACCAGGCACAGTGGCTCATGGTTGTAATACTAACATTTTGGGAGGCTAAGGTGGGCAGATCGCTTGAGCCCAGGAGTTCAAGACCAGCCTGGACAACATGGTGAAACCCCGTCTCTACAAAAAAATTTAAAAATTAGCCTGGCATGGTGGGGTGGCAGGATTGCTTGAGCCTGGGAGGTCGAGGCTGCAATGAGCTGTGATCGTGCTACTGCACTCCAAAGTAGATAATAGAGTGAGAACCTGTCTCAAAGAAAGAAAGTTCATTTTTAGACTGAACACAGTGGCTCACACCTGTAATCCCAACAGTTTGGGAGGCTGAGGCAGGAGGATAGCTTTGAAGCCAGGAGTTCAAGACCAGCCTGGGGAACATAGTGAAACTCTGTTTCTACAAAATTATGAAAACATCAGCTGGTCATGGTGGTGCACACCTGTAGTCCTAGCTACTGAGAAGGCTGAGATGGGAGGATTGCTTGAATCCAGGAGTTCAAGGATACACTGAGCTATGACTACGCCACTGAGCTCCAGCCTGGGTGATAGAGCAAGAGCCCTGTCTCTCAAAGAATGTAAATTGTTGAAATATTTTATTTCTAAATACTTCAGTGGGTATTTCCTAAAAACAACATTTTCTTATATAACCATAGTATAATTGTCAAAATCAGTAAATTAATGTTGATACAGTACTCTTATCTAATTCAGACTTTCAAATTTTACCAATTGTTCATATAGAAAAAGAGGAAAAAAACTTTTTTCCCCTGGTCCAGAAATACGTATTGCATTTGGTTGCCATTTTTCTAATTTCTTTTGATCTAGAACAATTCTTCAGTCTTTATCGTTAGTGACTTTGTCATTTTTTTTAAAGAGCAAGTGAGCTATTTTGTGGAATATTCATCAATTTGAGTTTCAGTGTGATGTTTCCTCATAGATTCAAGCCATGCATTTTTGGTAGAATGCCACAAAAGTGATGTGTCCAGGTCGGATGCGGTGGCTCACGTCTGTAATTCCAGCACTTTGGGTGGCCGAGGTGGGTTGGTCACCTGAGGTCAGGAGTTCAAGACCAGCCTGCCCAACATGGCGAAACCCTGTCTCTACTAAAAATATAAAAATTATCTGGGCGTGGTGATGGTCACCTGTAATCCCAGCTACTCAGGAGGCTGAGGCAGGAGAATCACCTGAACCCAGGAGGTGGAGGTTGCCGTGAGCCAAGATCACGCCATTTCACTCCAGCCTGGGAAACGAGAGCGAAAAAAAAAAAACAAAAAAAATTAGCTGGGTGTGGTGGCACATGCCTACTTGGGAGGCTGAGGAAGGAGAATTGCTTGAGCCCAGGAGGCGGAGATTGCAGTAAGCTGAGATCACGCCACTGCACTCCAGCCTGGGCGACAGAGCTAGACTCTGTCTCCAAAAAAAAGGTGATACATCCTTGATAGTGTATCTCAGGAGGCACATAAAACCTAGTTGAGCCAATACCAGTGATATTAATTCTGATTACTTGATTAAGGCATTGTCTGTCAAATTTCTCCACTATAAAGTTACTATTTTTCCTCTTTGTAATTACATATATCTTGATTCAATTTGGTCTTTATTTTGTTTTGCTTTGTTTTGCTTTTTTGAGACAGAGTCTCGCTCTGTCGCCCAGCCTGTAGTGCAGTGGCACAATCTCAGCTCACCATAACCTCCACCTCCCGGGTTCAAGCATTTCTCCTGCCTCAGCCTCCTGAGTAGCTGGGACTATAGGCGCGTGCCACCACGCCCAGCTAATTTTTGTATTTTTAGTAGAGATAGGGTGTCACCATGTTGGGCAGGATGATCTCGATCTCCTGACCTCGTGATCCGCCCACCTCTGCCTCCCAAAGTGCTGGGATTACATGCGTGAGCTACTGCTCCCGGCCAATTTGTTTGTTGTTGTTGTTTTTTGGAGACAAGGTCTTTCTCTGTTGCCTAGGTTGGAGTGCAGGCATGAACACAGCTAACTGCAGCCTCAACCACCTGGGCTCAAGCAATCCTCCCGCATTAGTCTCCCAAGTAGCTGGGACCACACGTGCATGCCACTATACCCAGCCAATTTTTTTATCTTTTTGTAGAAACAGGGTCTTGCTTTGTTGCCCAGGCTGGTCTCGACCTCCTGGGCTCAAGCAATCCTCCCACCTTTGCCTCTCAAAAAAATGCTGGGATTATAAATGTGAGCCACTGCACCCAGCCTGATTCTGTTTTTGTGGGGTTTTTGTTGTTGTTGTTGTTTGTTTTTGAGACAGAGTCTCACTGTGTCGCCCACCCAGGCTGGAGTGCAGGGCGATATCGGCTCGCTGCAACCTCCACCCTCGGGGTTCAAGTGATTCATCTGCCTCAGTCCCCCAAGTAGCTGGGATTATAGGTGCGCACTACATGCCTGGCTAATTTTGTATTTTTTAGTAGACACAGGGTTTTGCCATGTTGGCCAAACTTGGACTCCTGACCTCAAGTGATCCGCCCACCTCAGCCTCCCAAAATGCTGGGATTACAGGTGTGAGCCACAGCATCCAGCCCTGATTCTGTTTTTAAGAATAGTTGCAGCTGGGCACGGTGGCTCACGTCTGTAATCCCAGCACTTTGGGGGGCCGAGGCGGGCGGATCACGAAGTCAGGAGATCAAGGCCATACTGGCTAACATGGTGAAACCCCGTCTCTACTAAAAATACAAAAAAATTATCCGGGCGTGGTGGCACGTGCCTGTAGTCCCAGCTACTCAGGAGGCTGAGGCAGGACAATGGCGTGAACCTGGGAGGTGGAGCTTGCAGTGAGCCAAGATGGCGGCACTGCACTCCAGCCTGGGTGACAGAGTGAGACTCCATCTCAAAAAAAAAAAAGAATAATTTCTGGAGCAAGAATTGTTTCTGGGCAGGGGGGAAGAATAGTTACAAGGCAAGGTGCTTGTAATCCCACCACTTTGGGAGGCTGAGACAGGAGGATTACTTGGGCCTAGGAGTTCAAGACCAACCTGGTCAACAAATCAAGACCCTGCCTCTACAAAAAAATTTAAAAATTAGCTGGGTAGGGTGGTGCACACCTGTGGTTTCACCTACTCAGGAGGCTGAAACGGGAGGATCACTTGAGCCCAGGAGTTCAAGGCTACAGTGACCCCCATGATCATACCACTGGACTCTAGCCAGGGCAACAGAGCGATTCCCTGTCTCTTTATTTTTATTTTTATTTATTTATTTATTTATTTATTTATTTTTTGAGACGGAGTCTCGCTCTGTCGCCCAGGCTGGAGTGCAGTGGCCGGATCTCGGCTCACTGCAAGCTCTGCCTCCCGGGTTTACGCCATTCTCTTGCCTCAGCCTCCCGAGTAGCTGGGACTACAGGCGCCCGCCACCTCGCCCGGCTAGTTTTTTGTATTTTTTAGTAAAGACGGGGTTTCACCGTGTTAGCCAGGATGGTCTCGATCTCCTGACCTCGTGATCCGCCCGTCTCGGCCTCCCAAAGTGCTGGGATTACAGGCTTGAGCCACCGCGCCCGGCCCCCTGTCTCTTTAAAAAAAAAAAGTTACAGGACAATTCAGGTTTTGTTTTTCATCTTGAGTTAGTTTATGGTAGGACCTAGGAAAGGGCAGATGTCTTCAGGAGTTCATTTGATCCATTACATTGATTGTGAATCAGTGAGCAGAGATGAGCAAACAGGCCAATTTGAGATTTCAAGGGAGAGCTTTTACTGGCAAGTTTGCAGTTACCCCTTTTCACCACTAGATGGTAGTGCCTAACAGAGCTTATAACTGCACATTTTCAAAGGCTGATGAAAAAATAAAATTCAATTTTATGATGATATTTATTAAATGTAATTCTATCTACATGATCTTGTAATATTCACTTAGGTACTGTAAGTGATTATATCATAAAATGCATTAAATATGTTTATGAAATAAGTTTTGTAAAAGTTTTGTAGACTAGTAAAATCATGAAAAATCTGACAGGTTTTTAAAAATGTTCCTAAGATTGTGGTTAGAAACTAGAGAATTAATATGCAATAGACCCTTATCTCAGAATTACTTGGAATTGAGGATAATTTTGTTAATCAGGACTTCCAGTGGGCTAGAATCTTTAACACATCATATTGTGCTTACTTTTCCTAGCATGAACAAGGCTCAGTTATGATGTTTGAGCACCTTATTAATTCTAATGGAATCAAGCCTGTCATGGAACACTATGGTCTCATCCCTGAAGAAGATATTTGCTTTATCAAGGAACAAATTGTAGGACCACTTGAATCACCTGTCAAAGGTGTTTTGGTAAGTTTATGTACAACTTAATTTTAACTGACTGGTGCTTTTCATCTAGCCTTTTCATGATCCCTTCTGAGTTATACATTTGGCTATTTTAGAGGCTAAATGGTAAAATATGAGTTCTATGTTTCTACTGTTTAATGCAAAAAATAAAAGGCTTATATTTTTTTCTACCTCTCAACTGAATTATTTAGAACTTACTTCCCAAAACTATATATACAGAAATTCTTTTTTTTTTTTTTTTTTTTTTTTTTTTTGAGACAGGGTCTTACTCTGTCACACAGACTGGAGTGCAGTGGTGCAATCTCAGCTCACTGCAACTTCCACCTCCCAGGCTCAAGCGATCCTCCCACCTCAGCCTCCTGAGTAGCTGGGACCACAAATGTGCACTACCATGCCCAGTTAATTTTTGTATTTTTTGTAGAGATAGGGTTTTGTCACATTGCCCAGGCTAGTCTTGAAATCCTGAGCTCAAGTGATCTGCCCAGCTCTGCCTCTGAAAGTGCTGGGATTACAGGTGTGAGCCACTGTGCTTGGCATAAATTCTTTTCTTTTCTTTCTTTCTTTCTTTCTTTCTTTCTTTCTTTCTTTCTTTCTTTCTTTTTTTTTTTTTTTTTTGAGACAGAGTCTGGCTCTGTCGCCCAGGCTGGAGTGCAGTGGCCGGATCTCAGCTCACTGCAAGCTCCGCCTCCCAGGTTTACGCCATTCTCCTGCCTCAGCCTCCCGAGTAGCTGGGACTACAGGCACCCGCCACCTCGCCCGGCTATTTTTTTGTATTTTTTAGTAGAGACAGGGTTTCACCGTGTTAGCCAGGATGGTCTCGATCTCCTGACCTAGTGATTCGCCCGTCTCGGCCTTCCAAAGTGCTGGGATTACAGGCTTGAGCCACCGCGCCCGGCCTCTTTCTTTCTTTTTTTTTAGACAGAGTCTTACTCTGTCGGCGAGGCTGGAGTGCAGTGGCACGATCTCAGTTCAGTGCAACCTCCATCTCCCAGGCCCAAGCAATTCTCCTGCCTCAGCCTCCCATGTAGCTGGGATTACAGGTGTGTGCCACCACGCCTGGCTAATCTTTGGATTTTTAGTAGAGATGAGGTTTCACCATGTTGCCCAGGCTGGTCTCAAACTCCTGACCTCAGGTGATCCACCCACCTCGGCTTCCCAAAGTGCTGGGATTACAGGCGTGAGCCACTGTGCCCGGCCATAAATTATTTTTTAGTGAATATATATGCAGTATTTTATTCATTTAAAAAAATTTTTTTTAGAGATGTGGTCTCACTGTGTTGCCTAAGCTGGTTTCGAATTCCTGGGCTCAAGTGATTCTCCCACTTTGGCCTCCCAAAGTGCTGGGATTACAGGCGTGAGCCACCATACCTGGCCTGCAGTATTTTATGTAGAAGCCTAAAGTAATTTTGTTTGGAATGTAAATGTGTATGTTTCATCTAGCCATTAAAATGAACATATTTGGCCAGGCTCAGTGGCTCATGCCTGTAATCCCAGCACTTTGGGAGGCCATGATGAGAGGATCACTTGAGTCCTGGAGTTTGAGATCAGCCTGGGTAACATACTGAAACCCTGTCTCATGCCTGTTGTCTCAGATGCTTGGGAGGCTGAGGCAGCCTGCAGTGATCTGTGATTGTGCAACTGCACTCCAGCCTGGGCAACAGAGCTATACCCTGTCTCCAAATTAAAAAAAAAAATCACATTTGAAATATTTAAATATATGAAGATCTACAAAAAAGTTGAACTGGTTCAATGGAAAATCTGTTTTGTTTCCTTTTTGATATTTTGTATTTTTTAAATTAAAAATAAAGTTGGAAAATAATTTCCCCCTGAGACTTTTAGGGTTGTTTCCTCAAATATATACAAGTGTACTTACAGTATAAGATAAAGAGATGGGTTTTGTAGCAAATATCCTATTTCCAAAACAATTGAGCTCAAAGAATACATTCAACAATGCATATTATTTAGACTAGGTGTGTAGCTACTTTGAAAGATAGTACTATTTTAATGCATGAATTCAAGCACCATTAGTTTATTATTAGATTTTATATTATTTATTTATTTTTTTATTTTTGAGACGGAGTCTTGCTGTGTTACCCAGGCTAGAGGGCAGTAGTGTAACCTCAGCTCACTGCAACTTCCACCTCCTGAGTTCAGGTGATTCTCCTATCTCAGCCTCCCGAGTAGCTGGGATTACAGGCATTTGCTACCTAGCCTGGCTAATTTTTGTATTTTTAGTAGAGACGAGGTTTCACCATCTTGGCCAGGCTGGTCTTGAACTCCTGACCTCGTTATCTGCCCTCCTCGGCCTCCCAAAGTGATGGGATTACAGGCATGAGCCACTGCGCCTGGCCTAGATTTTATATTTTTCAAAAACTTGGTTTATAAACCAAGAAAACACAGTTGTTGTTGGTTTTGGGAAATGTAATACAGTTAAGATCTTTTCAGTGGCACAAGAAAAGAAAATGTGGTATCAATAAGGTATCATATACCTTAGCATTTCTTTTCCCTTTCTACTAGTTTTGAAATGAAGTGGAAGAAGGAATAGAACCTTCTAGTTTATCTTATATTCCCAGTCAGGTATCTGTTTATAATTTACAGATTAATAAAATTGCTTTGCTTTGATTATAAATAGATTTGGTGCCTGTCCTAAAACTTCCAGTGGGTTTTCTTGCCTTCCAGTGGCCATATAAAGGGCGTCCTGAAAGGAAAAGCTTCCTTTATGAGATAGTGTCTAATAAAAGAAATGGCATTGATGTGGACAAATGGGATTATTTTGCCAGGTATGCACTGAACACTTCTGAAAAGTTGGCTAAAATATTTATATAAATTTAGTATTACTATTTAAGGTACAGCTTCCTTGTTGAAAAATTTCATATCTCTGCTTTGGAATCCTTCTAGGGACTGCCATCATCTTGGAATCCAAAATAATTTTGATTACAAGCGCTTCATTAAGTTTGCCCGTGTCTGTGAAGTAGACAATGAGTTGCGTATTTGTGCTAGAGATAAGGTAAGCTCTGCCAGAGGAGATAATAAGAAGAGTGTTGTTCCTGGTCTGAAATTTGGAAATAACCATTTGACAATTTGGAATAATTGGTAAATCGACAATCTCTTTACTTAATTCCTAGGATTTGTAAATATCTTTAGTCTCTTCCCTCCTACTGCATTATTAAATAATAATAAAATTAAAATGGACATTTATTAAGTTTTGAGTCAGACACTGGTTTTGGGGTTTTTCTGTTTGGTTGGTTGCATTTTTTTTGAAATAGGATCTCACTGTGTTCCCCAGGCTAGTCTTGAACTCCTGAGCTCAAGTGATCCTCCCTCCTCAGCCTCCCAAGTAGCTGGGAGTGCACATTATCATGCCTGGCTTGTATGAGGCATTATTTTAAGTGCTTTGGACGGATCAACTTATTCCGTATAACCCTGTGAGATAGATACTATTATTCCATTCAACAGGCGAGCAAATTAAGGCACAGAGAAGGCATATAATTAACAAGTAGTAGAGTTGGAATCTCAACCCAAAAAATTTGTTTCCAGAGTCTCTCTCTTTTTTTTTTTTTGAGATGGAGTCTCACTCCACCACCCAAAGTGCAGTGGCGCCTTCTCAGCTCACTGCAAGTTCCGCCTCCCGGGTTCACGCCATTCTCCTGCCTCAGCCTCCCTGGTAGCTGGGACTACAGGCGCCCGCCACCTCGCCCGGCTAGTTTTTTTTTTTTGTATTTTTAGTAGAGATGGGGTTTCACCATGTTAGCCAGGATGATCTCGATCTCCTGACCTCGTGATCCGGCTGCCTCAGCCTCCCAAAGTGCTGTGATTATAGGCATGAGCCACTGTGCCCGGCCCAGAGTCTCATTTTTAATCACTATATTAGTGTTGAAAAATTTTATACAGTTAACACCTGAACAAAATCGTGTTTAGGGGTGCTACCCCCTCTCCTAGTTGAAAATCTATATATAACTTTTCTTTTTTTTTTTGGTGTCAGAGTCTCCTTCTGTTGCCTAGGCTGGGGTGCAGTGGCACGATCTTGGCTCACTGCAAGCTCTGCCTCCTGGGTTCAAGTGATTCTTCTGCCTCAGCCTCATGACTAGCTAGGTTTACAGGTACATGCCACCACGCCCAGCTAATTTTTGTCTTTTTATTAGACAACAGGGTTTCACCGTGTTGGCCAGGCTGGTCTCGAACTCCTGACCTCGAGTGATCCACCCACTTTGGCCTCCCAAAGTGCTGGGATTATAGGTGTGAGCCACTGTGCCTGGCCTGCGGCCTGCATACAACTTCTGACTTCCCAAAAACTTAAACTACTAATAGCCTCCTGTTGACCAGAAGCCTTATTGATAACTTTAATGGTCAGTTACACACATTTTGTATGTTTTTTTGGTTTTTGTTTTGTTTTCAGACAGGGTCTTGCTCTATCACTCAGGCTGGAGTACAGTGACACTATCATAGTGCACGTAGCCTTGACTTCCTGGGCTCAACTGATCCTTCCTCCTCTGCCTCTTGAGTAGCTGGGACTACAGGCCTATGCTTGGCTAATTTTGGAATTTATTTTATAGAGGTGGGATTTCACTGTGTTGCCCAGGCTGGTCTCAAACTCCTGGGATCAAGCAACCCACCCACCTCAGCCTCCTAAAGTGCTATGATTATAGGTATGAGCCACTGTACCCAGCCTATTTTGAATGTTACATGCATCATATACTATATTATTATTATTATTATTATTATTATTATTTTGATACAGGATCTTACTCTGTCACCCAGATTGGAGTATAGTGGTGCAATCTCCAATCACGGCAACCTCCACCTTTCCAGCTCAAGCAAATCTCCCACTTCACCTTCCCAAGTAGCTGCAACCACAGGCACATGCCACTATACCGGGCTAATTTTTCTATTTTTTTTTGTAGAGAGAGGGTTTTGCTATGTTCCCCAGACTGGTCTCGAACTCCTGACCTGAAGCAATTTGCCGTCCTTAGCCTCCCAAAGTGCTGGTATTACATGTTGGAGCCACCATGCCCCGTCTACTGTATTCTTACAATAAAGTAAGCTAAAGAAAAGAAAATGTTATTAAGAAAATCATAAGGCAAGGCCAGGCGCAGTGGCTCACGCCTGTAATCCCAGCACTTTAGGAGGCCAAGGTGGGTGAATCACCTGAGATTAAGAGTTCAAGACCAGCCTGCCCAACCTGAGCAACATGGTGAAACCCTGTCTCTACTCAAAATACAAAAGTTAGCTGGGTGCAGTGGTGAGCACCTGTAATCCCAGCTACTTGGGAGGCTGAGGCAGAAAAATCACTTGAACCTGGGAGGCAGAGGTTGTGGTGAGCCGAGATTGCGCCACTGCACTCCAGCCTGTGTGACAGAGCAAGACTCCTCTCAAAAAAAAAAAAAAAAAAAAAACATAAGGCAGAGAAAGTATATTTACTATTCATTAAGTGGAAGTGGATGATCATAAAGGTCTTCATCCTCATCGTCTTCACATTAAATAGACTCAGGAAGAGGAGGGGTTGGTCTTACTGTCTCAGGGGTGGCAGCGGGGCAAGAAAATCTGTATAAATGAACTCTTACAGTTCAAACATGTGTTGTTAAAGGTCAACTGTAGTTAAACAAGTGAAATCACTAGGTCCCTGTTAGATGGCAGTCATGTAATCAAAAAGTAGTATAGTACTATACTATAGAAAGTCAAGTACGGCTAGGTGTGGTGACTCATACCTGTAATCCCATAATCCCACTACTTCGTGAGGCCGAGGTGGGCAGATCGCTTAAGCTTACAAGTTTGAGACCAGCCTGGCCAACATGGTGAAACCCCGTCTCTACTGAAAATACAAAAATTAGCCAGGTGTGGTAGCATACACCTGTAATCCCAGCTACTCAGGAGGCTGAGGTACGAGAATCACTTCCACCTGGGAAGTGGAGGTTGCAGTGAGCCAAGATTGTGTGCCATTGCATTCCAACCTGGGTGACAGAGCGAGGCTGTCTAAAAAAAAGAAAAAAGAGAAAAAGTCAAGAATGAAGAACATAAGAATAGTGATACCTATTTCCTACAGTTATTGGGAGGATTAAAATATATATTTATATACATATATATGCATATATATATGCCTGAATATATATATATATATATATATATATGCCTGAAACAGAACCTGTCACAGAGTTTGAGCATGTAGTAGATTTTAGGGGTTTGTTTTTTTTTTGTTTTTTGTTTTTTGAGACAGAATCTCGCTCTGTCACCCAGGCTGGAGTGCAGTGGCTCGATCTCGGCTCACTGCAAGCTCCGCCTCCCAGGTTCACGCCATTCTCCTGCCTCAGCCTCCTGAGTAGCTGGGACTACAGGCGCCTGCCACCACGCCCAGCTAATTTTTTTGTATTTTTAGTAGAGGCGGGGTTTCACTGTGTAAGCCAGGATGGTTTCAATCTCCTGACCTTGGGATCCACCTGCCTCAGCCTCCCAAAGTGCTGGGATTACAGGCGTGAGTCACCGCGCCCAGCCACGTTTTATTTTTTTTTGAGATGGAGTCTTGCTCTGTGGCCCAGGCTGGAGTACAATGGCGTGGTCTCAGCTCACTGCAACCTCTGCCTCCTGGGTTCAAGCGATTCTCCCACCTCAGCCTCCCTATTAGCTGGGATTACAGGCACCTGTCATCATGCCTGGCTAATTTTTGTATTTTTGTAGAGACAGGGTTTCACCATGTTGGCCAAGCTGATCTTGAACTCCTGACCTCAGGTGATCTGCCCACCTCGGCCTCCCAAAGTGCTAGGGTTACAGGTGTGAGCCATCGTGCCTGGCCTAGTTTATTAAGAATGAAAGTTCTGGCTGGGCGCGGTGGCTCAAGCCTGTAATCCCAGCACTTTGGGAGGCCGAGACGGGTGGATCACGAGGTCAGGAGATCGAGACCATCCTGGCTAACACAGTGAAACCTCGTCTCTACTAAAAAACATACAAAAAAATTAACCGGGCGTGGTGGCAGGTGCCTGTAGTCCCAGCTACTCAGGAGGCTGAGGCGGGAGAACGGCGTGAACCCAGGAAGCAGAGTTTGCAGTGAGCCGAGATCAAGCCACTGCACTCCAGCCTGGGTGACAGAGCGAGACTCCATCTCAAAAAAAAAAGAAAAGAAAAGAAAAGAAAAAGAATGAAAGTTCTTGCAATGAAAGACTTGTACTACAGCCTGGCCAACAGAGCAAGACTCCGTCTAAAAAAAAAAAAAAAAAAAAACAAAGAATGAAAGTTAGCTGGGCACAGTGGCTGATGCATGTTATCCCAGCAAGGTTGAGGTGGGAAGATCACTTAAGACCAGCCTGAGTAACATAGCAAGACTTTGTCTTTAAAAAAATAAAAAATAAAAATAAAAAAGAATGAAAGTTTCAAGCCAATAAATGGCTTTACTAATCTGCCTCCTCATTTTGTAGTGGGGTCAAAGGTGTTAATGAAGAAGTCCTTGTTCAAAGCCCTCTTGTCTGCCACAATCCCTTTTCCTTGTCCTGTATACTTGTCTCTAATAAGGTTAACATAATCTGATCCTATTAATATTTACTTCATGTTTTCCTGCAGGAAGTTGGAAACCTGTATGACATGTTCCACACTCGCAACTCTTTACACCGTAGAGCTTATCAACACAAAGTTGGCAACATTATTGATACAATGTAAGAAACTTGATTGTCATTTCCCTATAAAATTTTCCTTGATACTTGGCTAGAGTATCATACTAGGCTCAACTAGACATTTCTAGATAAGTTCAAGTAAATATTAAGTGATTAAATTTAAAGTGGTTTCCTTAAAGAAAAAAATCTAGCATAGAGTTAATTTAGTTGGAGGAAAAGGAGAGAAGTGGATAAAGGGACTTAGGCCAGACGTGAAGCGGCAGTGCTGAGATCACCCAGGACCTCGGCACAGCTAGTCACTTACGTACCAGATATTAGTCATCAGCAGAATGGGAGGTAGGACGTGAATATTTGAATTCTGAGATTAATTACAAAAATTAACTTTAAGGATTAAGATTAATGTCTATTTGTATCCTGTCAAATATTTATCAAAATTAGTACCAAGTGGTAAAACCAACAGCAATTTTACCTCTTCCTAACCCAGTCAGAACCATAGCAGAAAACTGTACAGCCAGGTCTCCCCGTGACTCAAAGATTCCATGAGGAGTTATCAAACACTGGGTGTGAGTCAAGTTACTTCTTCCATGTCTCTAAAATAGCCTTAAATTAATTAACCTTTCATGTTCGTTTTCACAGTTGTGTTGAGGAAGTTTAGCTTCATTCCTATTTTTACCTATCCTTTGTCATGAGCAGATTACTTGGAGTACATTCTCCTATTTGTATGTTAATACTTTGGTAAGAGTTTTTGTTGTTGTTGTTGTTGTTTTGTAATTCAGAGAGATCTAGGTTCAAAGCCTGGCCCTGTTTCTTCCTAACTTGGTTAAATCAAAATTTACTTCATTTCTGCATCTATAAAATGAGGGCTGAATACACCTACCTTATTGTTGGGAAGATTAAATAAGATGGTGAATGTAAAGCCCTGCCACAGTGCCTGGAACACAGTAAGCACGGTAGCTCACAGGTCACCAAGCACAAATTTGGTACGGTGGAGACACAGTTGTCTTTAGAACATTGTGCCTCGTTATTTTATTTCCCTAAAGTAGAAAGATTTCCTTAAGTAAGACATAAGGCAAATATTCAAAATTTCTCATAAGCATAAATTTTTGCAAAATGATTTTTAGGATTACAGATGCTTTCCTCAAAGCAGACGACTATATAGAGATTACAGGTGCTGGAGGAAAAAAGTATCGCATTTCTACAGCAATTGATGACATGGAAGCCTATACTAAGCTGACAGGTAAGAAGTAACAGGTAACATAGATAGTCCATCTCAGATAAACTATAAGATGTCCTTGAATTGCCAGTGAGTTATTTTTCTTTCTTTTATTTTTCATTTTTCAAAATAACTATTTAATTGGAAAAAAAGAAAGAAAGGGTCTCACTATATTGCCCAGGCATCTCTCAAACTCCTGGGCTCAAGCGATCTTCCTGCCTTGACCTCCCAAAGTGCCAGGATTACAGGTGTGACCCACTGTACACAGCCGGTGGAAGGATTTTAGCTTCCCAAGTAATTATCTCCTTTTGAATTTGAGTTTTATTTCTGTCTTGTACCGATAAAGTGACCTTGATAAAGGGATTTGACCTATCTGAATCTTTCATCTGTAAAATGAGGGTAATGATACCTAGTATATAGTTTTGTTGTGATGTTTAAATGAGGCATAGCACCTAGTATAGACTTGACACATAAGTACTCAATATACATTATTTAACTTTTTTTTTTTTTTTTCCTGCAGATGGAGTCTCGCTCTGTCACCTAGGCTGGAGTGCACTGGTGCAATCTTGGCTCACTGCAACCTCCACCTCTTGGGTTTCAGCAATTCTTCTGCCTCAGTTTCCTGGGTAGCTGGGATTACAGGCATGCCCCACCATGCCCAGCTAATTTTTGTATTTTCAGTAGAGATGGGGTTTCACCATATTGGCCAGGCTGGTCTCGAACTCGTGACCTCATGTGATTCATCTGCCTCAATCTCTCAGAGTGCTGGGATTACAGGTGTGAGCCACCAAGCCTGGCCCATTATTTAACTTTTTAATTTAATTTTTTTTTTTTTTTTATTTTGAGACAGGATTTTATTCCGTCATCCAGGCTGGAGTGCAGTGGTGCCATCATAGCTTATTGCAGCCTCAACCTCCCGGGCTCAAGTGATCCTCTTGCCTCAGCCTCAGCCTCAGCCAAGTAGCTGGGACTATAGGCATGTGCTACCACACCTGGGTAATTTTTTCAATTTTTGTAGAGACAGGGTCCCACTATGTTGCCCAGACTTGTCATTGTTTAACTTATACCTGGACTACTATTGAACACCAAAAAACCTACTTGACCATTTAACATTATTTTCGTTACAAAAACACAAGATGCCAGGAACATATCCACGCTTCTGCAAAAACAAAATCTGCAGCTTAGTGTGGAAAGGTTCTTTTTTTTTTTTTTTAGTGTGGGACAGAGTTTTGTTCTTGTAGCCCAGTCGGGAATGCAATGGCATGATGTCGGCTCACTGCAGCCTCCACCTCCCGGGTACAAGCGATTCTCCTTCCTCAGCCTCCCGAGTAGCTGGGATTACACCACACCCAGCTAATTTTTTTTTTTGTATGTTTAGTAGAGACGGGGTTTCACCATGTCAGCCAGGCTGGTCTGGAACTCCTGACCTCAGATGATCCACCTGCCTCGGCCTCCCAAAGTGGTGGGATTACAGGTGTGAGCCACTGCACCCAGCCACAGCTAGTTCTTTAATGTGGGAAAGTATTGACTGAGATAAAGCAAAAGAAGTAAAATGAAAAGTATACACCAGTCAGAGTTCTTAGTTACAAATTATGAAACTGTTTGACTAAAAATAAAATTGGGCCAGGCATGGTGGCTCATGCCTGTAATCCCAGCACTTTGGGAGGCCAAGGAGGGCAGATTACCTGAGGTCAGGAGTTCGAGACCATCCTGTCCAAAATTGTAAAACCCTGTCTCTACTACAAATACAAAGATTAGCCAGGCATGGTGGCGCATACCTGTAATCTCAGCTACTCAGGAGGCTGAGGCAGGAGAATCGCTTGAACCCAGGAGGCAGAGGTTGTAGTGAGCCGAGATCGCACCACTGCACTCCAGCCTGGGCAACAGAGCAAGACTCTGTCTCAAAAATAAATAAATAAATAAACAAAAAATAAAAATAAAATTGGAAAGCAATCACATAGCTTACAGAATCCGTGGAAAGGTTGGAGGCTCTGAAAATGGAGAAAAACAACAGAAGCTAAGTGACCTAAGACACAGCCAAATCACTCTACCATAGCTTCCTGCCTAGAGTGCTACTTCTATGGCAGCTGGATTCTATTTGCTGCACACTGACAAAATGAAACCTAAACTGTCTTTGAAGAACCAGTTTTTTAAATTACCAACCCCATGCAGATTGTTATTTCTGTAAAGTATGATAAAAATGAATTACTAGAAAAACGAAATGGGGGGAAAAGGCACGTAAAATACAAGCCCAAATTTTTATTATTCAACTTGACAGACTTCACATTACCTTTCAGTAAATTCAATCAAAAATACATAATAGGCCAGACAAGGTGGCTCATGCCTATAATCCCAGCACTCTAGGAGACCAAGGCAGATGGATCGCTTGAGCCCAGGAGTTTGAGATCAGCCTGGGCAACATGCTGAAACCCTGTTTCTATAAAAAATTTAAAAATTAGCCATGATGGTACATGCCTGTAGTCCCAGCTACTCAGGACGCTGAGGTTGGAGAATCATTGGAGCCCAGGAGGTGGGGGTTGCAGTGAGCCAAGACTGCATCACTGCAGTCCAGCCTGGGTAACAGAGCAAGACCCTGTATCAAATAATAATAATAATAGAGAAAAAAATAAAAAATTAACTTACAAGAACTATATACATTGTTCTTTAAAAATATATATGTAAGGCTAGGCAGGGTGACTCATGCCTATAATCCCAACACTTTGGGAGGCTGAGGCAGGCGGATCACTTGAGGTCAGGAGTTCAAGACCAGCCTTTCCAACATGGTGAAACCCTGTCTCTACTAAAAATACAAAGTATTAGCTTGGCGTGGTGGCGGGTGCCTATAGTCGCAGCTACTCAGAGACTGAGGCACGAGAATCACTTGAACCCAGGAGGCAGAGGTTGGAGTAAGCCAAGGTCGCACCACTGCATTCCAGCCTGGATGACAGAGCGAGATTCCATCTCAAACATGAAATAAATAAATAAATAAATAACATAAAAGTAAAAAGAAAAAAAAAATTGAACAAGTTGAGGATACTTTTAATTTTCATTCATAATAATGCAAGTGATGCCACATTTTAAAAAGTCAGCCGGGCACGGTGGCTCACGCCTGTAATCCCGGCATTTTGGGAGGCCGAAGCGGGCGAATATGAGGTCAGGAGTTTGAGACCAGCCTGGTGCCTGTAATCCCAGCTACTCCGGAGGCTGAGACAGGAGAATCATTTGAACCCAGGGGGCGGAGGTTGCAGTGAGCCGAGATCGCACCATTGCACTCCAGCCTGGGCAACAGGGTGAGATTCTGTCTCAAAAAAAAAAAAAATCATCTTTATCCAGGTGTAGTGGCATGTGTCTTTAGTCCCAGCTGTTCAGGAGACTGAGGCAGGAAGATTAATTTTTTCAAATTATGTTTACATTTAAACTAGCTTTTGATTTAGCTGGGCATGGTGGCATGTGCCTGTAGTCCCAGTTACTCAGGAGGCTGAGGCAGGAGGATTGCCTGAGCCCAGGAGGTCAAGAATGCAGTGAGCCATAATCATATGCCACTTCACTCCAGCCTGATGACACAGCGAGACCCTGTCTCAAAAAAAAAAAAAAATCTAGCCAGGCATGGTGGTACACATCTGTAGTCCCAGCTACTCAAGGGCTAAGGCAGGAGGATGCCTTGAGCACAGGACTTTGATGCTGCAGTGAACTATGATCACACCACTGCACTTCAGCCTAGGCCACAGAACCTGACCTTAAAAAGAAGAAAAAAAACAAAGAAAAAGGTCAGGTGAAGTGGCTCACACCTGGAATCCCAGCACTTTGGGAGGCTGAGGCGGGTGGATCACTTGAGGCCAGGAGTTTGAGACCAGTATGACCAACGTGGCAAAACCCAATCTCTACTGAAAATACAGAAATTAGCTGGGCATGGTGGCACACACCTGTAGTCCCAGCTACTCAGGAGGCTGGGGCAAGAGAATCACTTGAACCTGGGAGGCAGAGGTTGCAGTGAGCCAAGATCACACCACTGCATGCCAGCCTAGGTGACAAAGCAAGACTCTGTCTCAAAAAAAAAAAAAAAAAAAAATTGCACAGGGATATATATATGGAGAAAGTGCATGCAGAAAAACATTAACAATTGTTGAATTTAAGTGAAGGATATTTTATTTTGAAATTTTTCAAAATAAAAATTGGGAGAAAATGAAAGAAAGGAAAAACATTTCTTCTACTCTCATCATCAAATGGGACACTTAAAAAATCGTTGTTTTATTATTATAGAAATTTACAAAGCCATGTACCTGTCACTTAGCTTCAACAGTTATCAATACATGGCAGTTTTGCCTCATCTCCTCATCTACCCACTCATGTCAAACACTGGACTATTTTGAAGCAGATCCTAGACATAATTTTGCTTGTAAATATTTCAGGACCGTTCTCTTTTTTTTTTTTTTTTTAAGATAGTGTCACTCTGTCACCCAGGTGGGAGTGCAGTGGTGCCATCTCGGCTCACTGCAACCTCCACCCCCAGGGTTCAAGCAATTCTCCTGCCTCTGCCTCCTGAGTAGTTGGGACCACAGGCATGCGCCGCCATGCCCAGCTAATTTTTGCATTTTTGGTAGAGGCAGGGTTTTGCCATGTTGGTCAGGCTGGTCTCGAGCTCCTGACCTCAGGTGATCCACCTGCCTTGGCCTCCCAAATTGCTGAGATCACAGATGTGAGCCACAGTGCCTAGCCACCATTCTCTTTTAAAGACAAAATAAAACATGTCAACAATAAATCCATACACCTTTATGTACCCATCACCCAGTTCAGCAGTCATCAACTCCAATGCAGTCTTATTTCTCTCTATCCTTCCCCACTCTCCGGATTACCTGGAATTAAATCCAAGTCATTGACAGGAACTTTTATTTTTGAGACAGAGTCTCACTCTTGTTGCCCACGCTTGAGTACAATGGCGCAATCTTGGCTCACTGCAACCTCCACTTACCAGGCTCAAGCAATTCTCCTGCCTCAGCCTCCTGAGTAGCTGGGATTACAGGTGCCCGCCACCACACCCAGCTAATTTTTTTTGTATTGTTAGTAGAGACGGGGTTTCACCATGTTGGACAGGCTGGTCTCGAACTCCTGACCTCAAGTGATCCGCCTACCTCGGCCTCTCAAAGTGCTGGGATTGCAGGCATGAGCCACTGTGACTGGTCAACTGGAACAGTTTTAAAAGGTTTTTTCACTTAAATATTTTAAAAATTTTTCTCATATTGCCAAAATAATAATTTACCTGCCTGTTAAGATCATTTCAGTAGAATAGCACTGTGTAATTCTTTAACTCTGTGTTTTTATTTTAATGTAACTGAAATGTCATCAAATTGGCAGATAACATTTTTCTGGAGATTTTATACTCTACTGATCCCAAATTGAAAGACGCACGAGAGATTTTAAAACAAATTGAATACCGTAATCTATTCAAGTATGTGGGTGAGACCCAGCCAACGGAACAAGTAAAGATTAAAAAGGTGAGTTATCAGGCATCTTTCCATTAGTGAAAGGTTACCTCTGTCCTCCAAGAGGAAACCACTAACCTATCATGATACTATGACTCTGTACTAAGTGCTTTACATTTACTCTCATTTAATCTTTACAGCAGTGCAGGGGTCTTAGGCCTGTTTTACAGATAGAGAAACTGAGGCTTCACTGAGATTAAATAACTTGCTCATGAAAGCATATTTAGCCAGGATTCAAAAGCCAGGTCTAACTTAACTCCAAATCTTTGCTCTCATCCAGGAAGTGAGAGTGGGTCTCTAATTTTGGCTAGATTCAAGCATGGGAAAATGAATATAAGGGAAAGGGACCTCCAAAGAAAGTGCCTGCATGGGCTTCATTGAGGCTGTGGTGACCTGTTGTAATGACTTGGTTCCTTCACAGGATATCAGTCTCCCAGATGGCACACACCTGTCTTCTTTAACTCAAATATCTATTTTCACCTCCTACTTGTTGAAGAGTTTTCTCTTTGCCAGAAAGCTATAACACAAGTCATACTTATAACCACATCCTACCTCAATAATTTCTTGGGTTGTACTTCCTCTTGTTGTACTAATAGGTTAATGCCACTTTTTTTTTTTTTTCAAAATGTGAATTTTTTTTTTTTGACAGTCTCACTTTGTCACCCAGGCTAGAGTGCAGTGGCGTGATCTCAGCTCACTGTACCCTCCACATCCTGGGTTCAAGCAATTCTCCTGCCTCAGCCTCCCGAGTAGCTGGGATTATAGGCACCTGCCACCACGCCCAGCTAATTTTTGTATTTTTAGTAGAGACGGGGTTCCACCATGTTGGTCAGGCTGGTCTTGAACTCCTGACCTCATGATCCGCCCACCTCGGCCTCCCAAAGTGCTTGGATTATAGGCGTGAGCCACTATGCCTGGCCACTTTTTACAGTTTTTTATAAAAATTGCTCTATTTGTTTAACGGGTGATATTGGTAGGAGCTATATTTGTTGTTTTTTTTGTTTGTTTTTTGTTTTGTTTTTTTTTTTGAGACGGAGTCTCGCTCTGTCACCCAGGCTGGAGTGCAGTGGCCGGATCTCAGCTCACTGCAAGCTCCGCCTCGCGGGTTTACGCCATTCTCCGGCCTCAGCCTCCCGAGTAGCTGGGACTACAGGCGCCCGCCACCTCGCCCGGCTAGTTTTTTGTATTTCTTAATAGAGACGGGGTTTCACCGTGTTAGCCAGGATGGTTTCGATCTCCTGACCTCGTGATCCGCCCGTCTCAGCCTCCCAAAGTGCTGGGATTACAGGCTTGAGCCACCGCGCCCGGCCGGTAGGAGCTATATTTGTTAAGGATATCTCTAATCATTTTTCTTAGTTAGGTGCCATTTTCTTAAAGAGAACCTGTTTGTGGCATAAAGGCTTAATGAGGAAAAATGGATTCCAACATGGGGAGTCTTGTGTTTTCTAGGAGGACTATGAATCTCTTCCAAAAGAGGTTGCCGCTGCTAAACCCAGAGAATTGCTGGAAGTAAAACTGGAGGCTGAAGATTTTATAGTGGATGTAAGTAATTAGTCCAGTAATAAACTGAGTGAATAATTTTTTAAAGATAAAGCACTCACCATTATAAAAGTAGTACGTGTTCATTATAATTACTTAGAAAAATGCAGAAAGATAAAAGGAAGTCATATGTGCCCTTATAAAGAGAACCAATATTATTAACCACAAAAACATTTTATTTATGATATTTTGCCATTATTTTTAGTATAATTGTGGTCATGTGATTACATTGTCTATATTAAAATTTTTTAATTACACAAGTAACACATTTTAATTTTTTGTTGTTGTTGCCTGCATACAAACACAGAGGAAAAAGTTGTAGGGCCAGGCACTGTGGCTCACGCCTATAATCCCAGCACTTTGGGAGGCCAAGGTGGGTGGATCACCTGAGTCAGGAGTTCGAAACCAGCCTGGCCAACAAGGCAAAACCCCGTTTCTAGTGAAAATACAAAAAAATTAGCCGGGTTTGGTGGCTCGCGCCTATTGTCCCAGCTACTCGGGAGGCTGAGGCAGGAGGATTGCTTGAACCCGGGAGGCAGAGATTGCAGCAAGCCGAGATCACGCCACTGCACTCCAGCCTGAGCAGCAGAGTAAGACTCTGTCTCCAAAAGAAAAAGAAAAAGAAAAAAAAAAAAGAGCTGGGCACAGTGGCTCATGACTGTAATCCTAGCACTTCGGGAAGCTGAGGCAGGTTGATCACAAAGTCAGGAGATTGAGACCATCCTGGCCAACATGGTGAAACCCCCATTGCTACTAAAAATACAAAAATTAGCTGGGTGTGGTGGTATGTGTCTGTAGTCCCAGCTACTCAGGAGGCTGAGGCAGGAGAATCACTTGAACCTGGGAGGCGGAGGTTGCAGTGAGCCGATACCACACCACTGCACTCCAGCCTGGGTGACAGAGCTAGACAGCACTGCACCTCAGGCCAATAGTCTCAGCAGATTACACCCTGGACCTTATCATCATTCAAAACTGCCCTCCCTGTAAAATCACTAGTTTAAACATAATTTTCTCTGTCCACAAACCCCTTTCCTCCTCATCCACGTTTTCGTAGCTCATCGGGCCCTCCAGTTTATTGTGTCCTCACTTTCTTCGAGCTTGTCAGTGGCCTTCTATCTTCATTTCTCTCCACATGTAGGCCGGGTGCAATGGCTCACGCCTATAATCCCAGCACCTTGGGAGGCCAAGGAGGGTGAATCACTTGAAGTCAGGAGTTCGAGACCAGCCTGGCCAACACGGCGAAACCCCATCTCTACTAAAAATACAAAAAATTAGCCAGGCGTGGTGGCCCATGCCTGTAATCCCAGTTACTTGAGAAGCTGAGGCAGGAGAATCGCTTGAACCCAGGAGGCAGAGGTTGCAGTGAGCTGAGATCACACCACTGCACTCCAGCCTGGGCGACAGAGTGAGACTCCATCTCAAAAAAAAAAAAAAAAAAAAAAAAGTATCTTGGATATTGTGATACAGTAATTCACTCATTTTTCTGCAGTTACCCTCAACTCTCTTTTCCTTCTTTGCATCTACCTAGCAGAAGGTCATACAACCTAGATGAATCAAATCTAAACATCTCCACACCTATTCCTGGACACATAAATGCTCCTGGATACCATCACCGTACAGGCATATCTATAAATTCCCGGTCACGAAACTAAGCTGGGCCTTCTGGCAGGCTTAGTGTGATTCTCCCAGTCTCTAATAATCATTTCAGGCCAGGCACGGTGGCTCACACCTGCAATCCCAGCACTTTGGGAGGCTGAGGCGGGCAGATCACCTGAGGTCAGGAGTTCGAGACCAGCCTGGCCAACATGGCAAAACCCCATCTCTACTAAAAATACAAAAATTAAGGCCGGGCGCGGTGGCTCAAGCCTGTAATCCCAGCACTTTGGGAGGCCGAGGTGAGTGGATCACGAGGTCAGGAGATCGAGACTATCCTGGCTAACATGGTGAAACCCCATCTCTACTAAAAATACAAAAAACTAGCCGGGCGTGGTGGTGGGCGCCTGTAGTCCCAGCTACTTGGGAGGCTGAGGCGGGAGAATGGCGTGAACCCGGGAGGCGGAGCTTGCAGTGAGCTGAGATCACGCCACTGCACTCCAGCCTGGGAGACACAGCAAGACTCCGTCTCAAAAAAAAAAAAAAAAATTAGCCAGGGATGGTGGTGGGTGCCTATAATCTCAGCTACTCAAGGAGGCTGAGGCAGGAGAATCACTTGAACCTGGGAGGCGGAGGTTGCAGTGATCCTGCCAAGATCCTGCCACTGCACTCCAGCCTGGGCAATAGAGCAAGACCCCCATCTCAAAAAGTAATACTACTACTAATAATCATCATCATTTCAAACTGTCCTCCCTCCTCTCAGAACTCCAACCATGCTTCCCACCTCCAGCTATATTCACCCTCATGAATAACCCAACCTTTGACTCTTATTTCCAAGATAAACTATAGGCCATTAGGTAGCAACTCCTTACACCTTTCTCACCAAAGAAACAAGCCTGCCTCCATCTGCAACTATATTCAGTATTCCCATTTGTATACTGGGGAAACAGCTTTGTTCTTGTCAAGGGCTTAGGGTAATTCTACTTGTGTTCTAGAGAAGTGTTGTCCCATAGAACTTTCTGCAGTGACAGAGATATTCTTGGTCAGTGCTGTCCCTTTTCATAGCCACTAGCTGCATGCGGGTGTTGAGTACCTGAAATGTGGTTGCTGTAACTGAATAACTTCATTTTTTATTGTATTTAGTGTTATTTGTTTATTTTTTAGAGACAGGGTCTTGCTCTGTTGCCCAGGCTGGAGTGCAGTGATGTAGTCACAGCTCATTATAACCTCAAACTCCTGGGCTCGAGCGATCCTCCCACCTCAGCCTCCTGAGTAGCTAGGACAACAGATACATGCCACCATGCCCAGCTAATTTTTAAATTTTTTGTATAGATAGGGTCTCACTCTGTTGCCCAGGCTGGTCTCAAACTCCTGGCCTCAAGCAATCTTGCTGCCTTAGCCTCCTAAAGTGCTGAGATTATAGGCATGAGCCACTGCACCCAACCAATGTTAGTTTAAACTTTTGTTTATTTTGAGACAGGGTCTCTGTCTGTGTCCCAGGCTGAAGTGCAGTGGCATGATCATGGCTTGCTGCAGCAAAACCCCATCTGTACCAAAAACACAAAAATTATCCAGGTGTGGTGGTGCATGCCTATAGTCCCAGCTACTCAGGAGGCCAAGGTGGGAAGATCGCTTGAGCCCAGGAGGTGGAGGTTGCAGTGAGCTGATATCGCACCACTGCACTCTAGCCTAGGCGACATACCAAGAGCCTGTCTCAAGAAAATCATGAACACCACACCGCTCTTCACCCCTCTCCTCTTTTTCAGGGTCAGACTCATCTTCCCTTACCTTTCTAAGGTACCAAATTCCTCTCCAGGTACTTCTTTCTTGCTGTCTTTTTTTTCCTTTATGTTTTTATTTTATGTATTTTTTAAACTGACAAATGATAACTGTCCCATTTTTATGGGGTACATAGTGTATATAAATGTCTGATGATCAGATCAGGGCAGTTAGCATATGCATCATCTAAAACATTTATCATTTCTCTGTGTTGGGGACATTTAATATTTTCCTTCAAGCTATTTAAAACTATGTAATAAGCCGGGCACAGTGGCTCATGCCTGTAATCCCAGCACTTTGGGAGGCCGAGGCAGGTGGATCACGAGGTCAGGAGATCGAGACCATCCTGGCCAACATGGTGGAACCCTGTCTCTACTAAAATAAAATAAAAAAAATTAGCCAGGTGTGATGGCATGCGCCTGTTGTCCCAGCTACTTGGGAGGCTGAGGCAGGAAAATTGCTTGAACCTGGGAGGCGGAGGTTGCAGTGAGCCGAGATCGAGCCACTGCATTCCAACCTGGCGACAGAGAGACTCCATATCAAGATAACAAAAAAACTGTGTAATAGATTACTGTTAACTAGGCCGGCCATGGTGGCTCATGCCTGTAATCACAGCACTTTGGGAGGCCGAGGCGGGTGAATCACTTGAGGCCAGGAGTTTGAGACCAGCCTGGTCAACATGGTGAAACCCCATCTCTACTAAAAATACAAAACTTAGCTGGGTGTGGTGGTGCATGCCTGTAATCCCAGCTACTTAGGAGGCTGAGGCAGGAGAATCACTTGAACCCAGGAGGCGGAGGTTGCAGTGTGCCGAGATTGTGCCACTGCAGTCCAGTCAGAGCAACAGAGCAAGGCTCTATGTCAAAACAAAGGAAATTACTGTTAACTATAGTCGTAGTCATCCTACAGAACTACAGAACCCTAGAACTTACTCCTCCTATCTAGCTGTAATTTTGTTTTCTTTAACGTCTTGCCTCCTCTGAACAGCCAAACTTCTAAGAGTTGCCTTCTCTTACTTTTTTTTTTTTTTTTTTTTTTTGAGGCAGAGTCTCACTGTGTCGCCCAGGCTGGAGTGCAGTGGCCCGATCTTGGCTCACTACAACCTCCACCTCCTGGGTTCAAGCAATTCTCCTGCCTCAGCCTCCTGAGTAGCCAGGACTACAGGTGCCTGCCACCACATCCAGCTAATTTTTGTATTTTTAGTTGAGATGGGGTTTCACGATATTGGCCAGGCTGGTCTTGATCTCCTGACCTTGTGATCCGCTCGCGTCGACCTCCCAAAGTGCTGGGATTACAGGCATGAGCCATCACGCCTCTTACATTTCTGTTTCTCATTTTCTCTGGAATCTTTTTCTCTGTTGCCATCACTATACTCTCTCCAGGATCTCCAGTGACTTCAGAGTTGCTAAATCCAGGAGATAGTTTCAGTACTCTCTGCCTCTGAGCTGTTTCTTCTGCCTGCAATTCTTTTTCTTCTGCCTGCAATTCTTTTTCTTCCCACCTAAGCCTGTTTGTTTCTTGCTCACTTAGTAAAGTCACTTTCCCAGGAAAATGTTTTCAGTCATTGTCCGGGCACCCTAGGCTACATCAGGTGCCCTGTTAGAACATTTCAAAGCACTCTTTGCTTTTCAACTGTGGTTGCATACTTTTATAATTATTTGTTGAACTTTAATCTAGGGCTGCCTGGTTTGTGGGGGCTAGAATTTTCTTTACTGATTTATTTTTGGAGGCAGAATCTCGCTCTGTTGCCTAGGCTGGAGTGCAGTGGCGCAATCTCAACTCACTGTAACCTCTGCCTGCCAGGTTCAAGCAATTCTTGTGCCTCAGCCTCCCAAGTAGCTTGGACCACAGGTACATAACACCATATCTGGCTAATTTTGTTTTGTTTTGTTTTGTTTTGTATTTTTGGTAGAGACAGTGTTTCACCATGTTGACCAGGGTAGTCTCGAACTCCTGGTCTCAAGTGACCTACTGCGTTCGGTCTGGGATTTTATTTTAAAGTGTCCTTGTTGTACCTCTAGTGTCTACCTGTATCTGTCACATAGCAGGGATTGAGTTTACACCATACTTAGATTGAACACACAAGTACATTTCCCATTCTTCCCCAGATTTCAATACCAAATCCCTAAGAGTGGTCATGAACCAGTTATTTTTATTCCATCATGAGTCACCTTATCAACATTCTTACTTCCGAATCCCCAGAAGGCTCTGTTCTATTTCTTTTTCTTTTCTTTTTTTTTGGGGGGGGGGTGGGGGGACATAGTCTCACTCTGTTGCCAGGCTGGAGTGCAGTGGTGTGATCTCAGCTCACTGCAACCTCCACCTCCCAGGTTCAAGCAATTCTCCTGCCTCAGTCTCCTGAGTAACTGGGGTTACAGGCGCATGCCACCATGCCCAGTTAATTTTTGTATTTTTAGTAGAGACGGGGGTTTCAGTATGTTGGCCAGGCTGGTCTTGAACTCCTGACCTCATGATTTACCTGCCTTGGCCTCCCAAAATGCCGGGATTACAGGCCTGAGGCACCATGCCCAGCCTCTGTTCCATTTCTTGTTATGCTCCTACAGCCCTGAATTCAGTTCTCCTGGTTGCTATATGATTACTTATGTATTGCTTTTATTTAGGTTATCAACATGGATTATGGAATGCAAGAAAATAATCCAATTGATCATGTTAGCTTCTATTGTAAGACTGACCCCAACACACCAATCAGGATTACGAAAAACCAGGTAACTACTTAGGCAAAACAAATATACTGTAATGGCATGTAGCAAATCTTTATGGTAAATTAGCATTTTATATGCAAATTAGGTTTTAAGGCGTATCTTTACAATTAAAGTGGGCCTGGCACAGTAGCTCATACCTGTAATCCCAGTGCTTTGGGAGGCTGAAGCGGGAGGATCACTTGAGACTGAGAGCTTAAGATCAGCCTGGCCAACAAAGCGAGACCCCATCTCTATAAAAAATAAAAAACTTAGGCATGGTAGCTAATGCCTGTAGTTCCAGCTACTTAGGAGGCTGAGGTGGGAGGATTGCTTCAGCCTGGGAGGTCAAGGCCTCGGTGAGCTGTGATTGTGCCACTGCACTCCAGCCTGGATGACAGGGAGACCTTGTCTCGAAAAAAAAGAAATAGTTAGGAGCCTAGGGACCAGCTAGTATCTCCAATGTGTGAATTCAAGGTGATAGTGAAATCTCTTCATTTTAAAAAGGTTTCACGACTTCTGCCAGAGAAATTTGCAGAGCAGCTGATTCGAGTATATTGTAAGAAGATGGACAGAAAGAGTTTGTATGCCGCAAAACAACATTTTGTTCAGTGGTGCGCAGACAGAAATTTCACCAAGCCTCAGGTAGGTGGCCTGTTACTCACAAACTTTGCACAATTTTTTATTTTTAAGTAAAAACCAAAAATAATTCTATCTGCTGAAAAGTTCCCATTTAAGTTGTAGTCACTTGGTTATGGTTTTGAAAATAAGGTCTTTCACTTTCTTTCCTTTTAAAATGTCTGAATCTGTGTCAGCCAGTGATTTCTTCCTACAGGAGCTGGGAATGGATACTGTTTAGCATTATTGTCCTAATAATAAAAGATAAAAATGTGAACATGTAAATAATGCTTTCTAATGTTGTTCACCAGTGGCCCTGGAAAGTTGTTCAGTGTCTCCATCTTTCAGAGGTTACCAAAGCTGAGTAGTTAACTTGTTTAACATACAATTGATAATAGACTTCATGTTTCTAAACCTGGTTACTTCTATGTATTAGTTAACTATTTAAATGATCAAGAATGAGAGTAGAGGGAAGAGGAGCCAAGCCACAGTTGCCAACCCTGTAGAGAATGTTGTTAAAATTGTCTCTTACTGACCTACACATAGTAGGTGTCTGCGCAGACAATGTGGCCAGTTGGCATTTATTGACTGAATGAATGAATATAATTGGCAAGCAGGGAAACAGCGCTTTACTGCCTAGTCTGGAACTCTCCCTCACACCTCCCTGTGTGTCAGGTGCTAAAGGGAACAAAGTATAGGGTGAGACATGAAAGCATAGCTCAGGATGTCGGTGCTTTATCAAGTGCCACACGGCATGACCCAGGCAAGATCTCTGAGGATTCAGAGAGTTGGGAGATCTCTGGGAGAAGCCTGGTGAAGGGGCGGGATCTGCTAGATCTAGAAGGCAGGGTTTTTTGGATGAGCAGCAGGGAGAATGAAGGGTATATTTGGCAATGGGAGGAGCATAAACAAAGGCATGAAGCTGGAATGAGCTGAGAGTATTTAGGGGACCATGAGGAGACCTGTCTGTCCAGGGTAGAAAATTATTTTTTTTTAATTCATTCATTCATTCATTTTTTTGGGATGGAGTCTTGCTTTGTCACCCAGGCTGCAGTGACAACTGCACTTACTGCAACCTCTGCCTCCCGGGTTCAAGCGATTCCCCTGCCTCAGCCTCCCAAGTAGGCACGTGCCACAATGCCTGGCTAAATTTTTGAATTTTAGTAGAGACAGGGTTTCATTATGTTAGCCAGGATGGTCTCGATCTCCTGACCTTGTGATCCGCCCACCTCGGCCCCCCAAAGTGCTGGGATTACAGGTGGAAGCCGCCATGCCCAGCCAGAAAATTCTTACTGTTAAGTGTGGAGAGGTTAAATGGGAAGAGTGGACTGGATTATGGAGAACCTTGGATAATTGGCTGGGAGATTCTTTTCTCCATACAGTGGGGAGGGGATCACCGAGCACATTCAAGAGTTGCCATGCTCTGTAGGATCTGCCTGAATGTGTGTCTGCTCCAACTAGAGTGAAACCCGAGGGAATAAGAGTAGAATTGTCCCTTGGCATCTGTGGGGAACTGGCTCCAGGACCCCCACAGACCCCACAGATAGAAAAATCCACGGAAGCTCAAGTCCCTTATATAAAATGGTGTAGTGATTGCATATGACCTATGCATATCCTCTTTTATACTTTAAATATCACTAGATTACTTATAAAACCTACTACAATGTAAATCCTATGTAAATAGTTGTTAATACTGTATTGTTTAGGGAATCATGACAAGAAGAAACTCTGTACATGCTTAGTATAGACACAGGCATCCATTTCTCCCCCCCTCACATTTTCTATCTACAGTTGGTTGAATCTGCCCATGGATGCAGAGGGTCAGCTGTATGTCTCTCCTAGGTACTGTGAAATTAAATCACTGAAACTAAATCACTGAGAACTCTAGCTGCAGGTAGACTGGAACTTGGAGAGGCTGGAAACAGAGAGTCAAGAGAGGCTATTAAAGTTTGGCTGTGTCATGGTAACTACTATAAATTTGGTACATTTACTCACTGAGTGAGTATTTTGCCATGCCCTTGTTAGGTACCTGGAATAGTACGTAAGATAGAGAGTTCCTAATAACCCATGGATCCCATTCAGGTTGGGGATAACAATCTAGTTGGGGATAATAATAATTATTAATTTTACTCCAAAAATTAATAATTATAGGAGCATGGTAAGTACTTTGGGTGTAGGGTGAGTACACAGTCTTAGAGGAGGAAAAACAAAGAGGATTTAGCTGGTCTTAGTTGGTCAGGAAAAGCTGATTTAAAGAAGGGCTTATAAACTGAGACCTGAAGGTTGAGTGAGGAGTCGTCTGGGTTAAGGGCTGGCAGCAGGAGGTGGCGGTAGGGGAGGGGTTGAGGCATAGACACCACAGGATTAATTCAGAAGATGAGAAAGAATATGGTGTATTTCAGGAAGGAGCATAGAATGTGGAGGTGTCTGGGGCTTTATGCACAGTCCTGTCAGCCAAGAGCAGTAGGGAGCATCAGCACTGAAGGGTTTTAAGCAGGAAAGTGACATATTTGTTTACATTTATAAAATTCACTAGAATTGAAATTAGAATGAGTGGAAATAAAAAAGTTGGCTATATGCATGGTGGCTCACATCTATAATCCTAGCACTTTGGGAGGCTGAGGTGGGAGGATTGTTTGAGCCTAGGAGTCTGAGGCTGCAGTGAGCTATGATCACACCACTACACTCCAGCCTGGTTGACAGAGCAAGATGCTGTCTCAAAGAAAGAAAGAAAAGAAAGAAAAGAAAAGGAAGAAAAGGAAGAAAAGGAAGGGAAGGGGAGGGGAGGGGAGGGAAGGGAAGGGAAGGGAAGGGAAGGGAAAGGAAGAAGGAAAGGAAGAAGGAAGGAAGGAAAGTGGGTAGAAATAGAGATGAGGCTGGGTGCGGGGGCTCACGCCTGTAATCCCAGCACTTTGGGAGGCCGCGGTGGGTAGATCATGAGGTCAGGAGATCGAGGCCATCCTGGCTAACATGGTGAAACCCTGTCTCTACTAAAAAATACAAATTAGCCAGGCGTGGTGGCGGGCGCCTGTAGTCCCAGCTTCTTGGGAGGCTGAGGCAGGAGAATGGCGTGAACCCGGGAACCAGAGCTTGCAGTGAGCCGAGATTGCGCCACAGCACTCCAGTCTGGGCGACAGAGCAAGACTCCATCTCAGTAAAAAAAAAGAAATAGAGATGAGTTTAAAGACAAATAAAAACTGTCGATTTTGAAATAGACCTTTAAGAACAAGTATCACAGCAATAGAATGACTTTTTTTTTGAGACGGAGTCTCACTTTGTTGCCCAGGCTGGAGTGCAGTGGTATGGTCTCAACTCACTGCAAGCTCCGCCTGCTGGGTTGAAGTGATTCTCCTGCCTCAGCCTCCTGAGTAGCTGGGACTACAGGCATGCACCACCATGCCCAGCTCATTTTTGTATTTTTAGTAGAGACAGGGTCTCACCGTGTTGCCCAGGCTGGTCTTGAACTCCCAACCTCAAGTGGTCCACCTGCCTTGGCCTCCCAAAGTGCTAGGATTACAGGCGTGAGCCACCACGCCTGGCCTAAATGATTGCCTTTACTGAGATCAGGAGTTCGAGACCATCCTGGCCAACATAGTGAAACCCCATCTTTACTAAAAATACAAAAATTAGCCATGGTGGTGCACACCTGTAATCCCAGCTACTTGGGAGGCTGAGGCGGGAGAATCGCTTGAACCCTGGAGGTGGAGGTTGCAGTGAGCTGAAATCGTGCCACTGCACTCCAGCATGGGTGACAGAGCAAGATTCCATCTCAAAAACATAATAATGATAAATTTTTAAAATACTGTTTTTAATGGTTCTATCAAGTCAGATCCAGTGTGGTTCAACAGAAGAAATTTAACATGGGGGATGAGATACAAAAGTTCTGGCAGAGCTAAATGAGTACAGAGGATGGTGATTCAAAAGCAGGAAGCTGCTACCACCTCTAGGATAGGAGAGACCAAGGGAGCAGGTGGGAGTCCCGGAGCTGGGGCCACCTGCAGAAGCTAGAACCACAAAAGAGTCACTGCCACTGCCGCTCATGCCAGAGGAGGTAGGGAGAGAAATAACCTGATTTCTCTGCCCTCTTCTCACCTCGTCTCCCACCAGAGAGACCAAACCTAACTGGAAACCAGCAGGCATGGGAGCTGAGAGATGTAATTTACCGGAGTGGCTCCAGTGAAACAGAGTAGGGAGAGGAGGAGTGAAGAATGGATCTGAGAGCAAACAGGCAGATGAGGAGCACGAATCCTCCTACCAGCATTGTATTCCTGATACAACAGAAGCTCTCCAAGATCCTGCATCCTCTCGTAACCAAAGAGGATCTACACACAAGTTCAGAACAGTTAGCATAGAGTCGAGTATTAGGAGGCCTTGCTTCTTCTTACCTCTGTGGTTTCAGGTCATTGTATCACCTCCCTTTGGATCTCTCCCTTATTTTGGGTGGAGGAGGTCCTTTGGCTGGAGCCTATGCTGATGGGGCCAACGTTAGAGCTTTGATACAGAGAAAAATTTTAATTCTGCAGGTACATACTGTCTTTTCTCCCCTTCTTTGTCATCTTGTAGACCTGGGCCATTTATTACAGAGGGGACCAGGCGAGAGAGAACCTAAGGGTTCAGTGCATCCTGTCTTTCTCCTGGGCAAATAGGACAGGGTTTGTGCTCCATGAAGGTGTGTGAAGGAGGCCATAGAGGTGGGCAGTGGTATGCTGCTTCCCGTCATCTCTGCAGAGGCCAGTGTCTGTTTTCATGAAGGCTCTTCCTGCATAAGACTGTAGTGTTTCTAATTGGTCCCAACCACAGGGCATAGGTAATTTGGAGTTTCCCTGGAGTGAGGACATCTAGAAGCAATCTATATGCAAGATGAGGATGTGCGCACCTGAGACTTTCACTCACAAATAAGATGATGGAAACTGGCTTTTCTCTGTTCTCTGTTTTTCTCTCTCCTTCTAATAGGATGGCGATGTTATAGCCCCACTCATAACACCTCAGAAAAAGGAATGGAACTACAGGACTTCAGTCCAAAGTCCAACTCGCCTCCGAGAAGCATCCAAAAGCAGACTCCAGCTTTTTAAAGATGACCCAAAGTGAACGTCTGTAGTCGGCTGTTTACAAACTCCCTCCCCTGCACAATTCATTTAGGGGCTTCACTCCTAGAATTCTGCACAATTATGATAACTCATGCTTTAATTTTGCAGTTTGAATGTACACGCATGCTGAAGCTAAGTAATTTTTAATCAAAGAAATAAGATGGTATTAGGCAAATCTTACTATACTATGAAAAGTATTACCTTGCCTATTTTTAGTATTATTAAAGTCTTTCTCCTTCGGTAGTCTATTTTCTTAGAATAACAACTCTTTTATCTACTCTGAACTCTCTTTTTTTTCTTTTTTAAAAGACAAGGTTTTGCTCTGTTGCCCAGGCTGGACTCGCACTTTCCTGGGCTCAAGTGACCCTCCTGCCTTAGCTTCCCAAGTAGCTGGGACTATAGGCATGTGCCACCACACCCAGCTTACTCTGAACTTTTATGACGGATGATTGTTTTTTGTTTTTAATGTAGAAATGAGACAAGGGTACAAATTGGAATTAGAAGTTGACATTGTCATAGACAAACATGGCTAAAAACAAAACATCAGATCCTACCCCGGTGAAGAGTTCCCTATCACTTCAAGTTTGAGGACAGTCCTCTTCAAGCATAGGCGAAAAACACCTCCCCTCACCCTTTTAGCCCCCTACAAGGTGCCAAGTTGAGGTAAACAGTTGGAGATGATGGCCAGGAGTGGCCTCCAACACACTGGTGAGAGGCCTGATTAGGTTTTGGGGAAGATCTGAGAGCTCAGGCCTCCTCATGAGTGGAGCCTAAAGCCGCCTCTTGTTGGGAGATCCCTACCCCCAGTGACAGAGGAATGCCCCAAACTAGGCTGTGCCCTGGCTCCGTGGCGGTTCCAGACCTGGGCAGTGCCTTTGTCTCCTGAATACTCACTCCCCCGGTCCAGAGGGCCTTCCCACTGCCCCGCCTGGAGAAAGCCTCCCCTGACCTGCTCTCTCAGTATCCTGGAGAGCTGGCTAGAGGCTGTCACAGGCACCATCCTCAGAGCTCCTCAGACCTGGGACTTTGTTTTTGCTGGTTCGGTGCATTTTGTGTATTTAAGAGCAAACACTAGCCGGGCGTGGCGGCGTGCGCCTGTAGTCCCAGCTACTTGGGAGGCTGAGGCAGGAGAATCGCTTGAAACCGGGAGGCGGAGGTTGCAGTGAGCCAAGATCACGCCATTGCACTCCAGCCTGGGTGACAGAGTGAGACTCCATCTCCAAAAAAAAAGAAAAAAAAAAAAAAGTGCAAACACTGCACTGCCTGTGGGGAAATTAGTGACTGCCCAGTGGGTTCCAGGCTCCCCTAGGTAACTTCGTTTTCCCAGCAGTGGAGGGGGCACCACCTTGGTGGGGCAGTGTCCCTGTGCCCAGGGCACACCTTATTCCCAGTTCTATAGCAATTCACCAAGAACAAAGTCTGCAGGGCCAGGCGCAGTGGCTCATGTCTATAATCCCAGCACTTTGGGAGGCTGGGGCGGGCGGATCACAAGGTCAGGAGATCAAGACCATTCTGGCTCACATGGTGAAACCCCATCTCTACTAAAAATACAAAAAATTAGCCGGGCGTGGTAGTCTCCTGAGGCAGGAGAATGGCATGAACCCGGGAGGCGGAGCTTGCAGTGAGCCGAGATAGAGCCACTGCACTCCAGCCTGGGTGACAGAGCGAGACTCCGTCTCAAAAAAAAAAAAAAGTCTGCAGTTAGAGCCAAAGCTGGTGGTGGCCAGAGGGTGCTGAAGATGCAGGCTAGTGGGGATAGGAGCCATGAGCCCCGAATGTCTTCCGCTCTGGTGCTCCCCGGACTAAGCCTCCCTGGCACACTGGGAGTGAGGGGCAGCCTGAGCGTGTAGGGGAACTCAGACCACAGGCCAGCAGATTTCCCAGTAGTCTGTCACTGGCCACCGTGTAGCCAGATTCTGTTCCGTCCACACTGGGGTGAAGAGTACTTGGAATGTCTGCCATCCTGTATGATCGCCTCACCCCCCCACCGCCCCCCTCCACTCCATCCATCAGTAGATAATAGGGGTTGGTTACAATTCATAAGAGAATAGTTAAAACCCTTCTCCTCTCATGCCTACCATGGTATTGGGGCAATCTGTTCACATATGGGCTCAGCAACGCACAAGTGAGGTCAGCCATGGCACTAAGTCATTCCCATTTTAGCCAAGGTGCCTCAGGAATGTCATATTGTGTTAAAATCATTTTATTTCTGTGTATCTTACCTTTAAATCATTGTGATTTACTCTGAGATTCTGTAGTCCTAATACTGTGTCACTGTGCTGTCTGTGAAACAACTTGAATGGATTTTGTTTGCATCTTTTGTTACATGTAAGGCAGCTTACTTTATGTTCTTTGCAGCTGTTTTCATTATGATAACTCTGCGCTATTTACAAGGTTACATTTTCCTTAAGAAACATCTTGGCCAGGCGAAGTGGCTCACACCTGTAATCCCAGCACGTTGGGAGGCCGAGGTGGGCGGATCACTTGAGGTAAAGAGTTCGAGACCAGCCTGGCCAACATGGCGAAACCTAGTCTCTGCTAAAAATACAGAAATTAGCCAGGCAAAATTGTGGTGGTGTGTGCTTGTAATCCCAGCTACTCTGGAGGCCGAGGCAGGAGAATCACTTGAACCGGGGAGGTGGAGTGTGCAGTGAGCCAAGATAGCTACTGCACTCCAACCTGGGAGTCAAGAACGAAACTCTGTCTCAAACAAAAAAAAAAAAAAAAAGGAAAGAAACATCTTTGCTATTTGTATAAAAATGGAAATTTTAACAGCTTAGCCTCTAGAGAGTTACTGAACGTGGTTACCCTGGGAATGTAAATAGAACTGCAAATTAAAATGACTGGCCACTTCAACTGGGTAAGGGAAACAGCTGCAATAAAGCTTCGTGAATGTATCTCCATCTTGAAAGTTGTGTTCCACAAAGCTTTCGACCTCCTTGTCTGAATATGCATATTACTCATTTGCTCCTTTCATACCTTCCTCATGAAATTAAATAGCAGATTCACAAGAACCTGGCACTGGTGGCAGACAAAAGGGCCTCAACGTTCTGCAGCAGGCCAGAGGAGGAATGATGCTGCTAGAGTCTTCATTAGTTCCAGTGCTCAAGCCCGGGTTTCTAAGGTTTGACAATATTCTGTAAGTTAAAATCATTCCCACACATACAGAGTAGAATCCCGTTTCTGTAAGAATACACACACACACATATTCATGGAACATTGTCTGGAAGGATATACATGAAAATGTTAGAGTTGGGGGGGTTGAATTTTAGGCAATTTTCATTTTTTTTAATGTCTTCTGGTTTTTCTACTATAAACATGAATTCGTTGTAGAACCTCTAAAATGATAATGTTCATGAGGTTGGTTTTCCTCGTTCAGTAGCTGGCGGGGAACAGCATAGTGAAAAATCTTCCCTTTGCCAGGAGGCAGGCACTAGCATGGGAAGGGATGCGGATTTTTCTTAGTTTTCTAAGGCCCTGTTAGCTTAGGGTCTCGGTGCTGCTTGGGTAAGGTGTAAGCATCTTTTAATCCTTCAGAGTCACCTCTGCAAAACAGCAGTGCCTGCCCCCACCTGTATCTTGGGTCCCCAGGCCACAAGGAGGCGGGCCAGCAGCCTCAGCCAACTCTAGGGCCCTTCAGCATCTGTGTTTCGAACAGCGCAGGCTGCCGTGTGTCAGGAAGGCCTGGGTGGCATCGTGAGCAGGGCTGAGTACCTGTTGCCGCAGGGCCATCAGCTGAGAAGCCAGGCCTCCAGCTCCTGGACGCAGAACTGCTCCCGCCGGGCCAGCACCTCGTTGTTAAAGGTTGCGCAAGGGGAGCTTCCCCCGTGAAACAAGTCTCCATCCAACCACAGCCCAAACCGGCCACTAGAGAAGAGGACAGTCTTGGTGCAGCTTACCCCTGTGTGCTGAAACCCTCAGGCTCTGCCACTGATTGGCCATGCCAGGACGGCAGCCCAGTTTCACCTGTCTTACCTCCCCTTAAAGCAATTTATACTGAATTACTGGGGACTCAGCACATTGTTCCCCATGGGGTTGAGAGTATTTGTTTATTTGTTTGTTTATTTATTTATTGAGACAGAGTCTTGCTTTGTTACCCAGGCTGGAGTGCAGTGGCACAACCTTGGCTCACCACAACCTCTACCTCCCGGGTTCAAGCAGTTCTCCTACCTCGGCCTCCCGAGTAACTGGGATTACAGGCCACCCACCACTATACCTGGTTAATTTTTGTACGTTTAGTAGAGATGGGGTTTTGCTATGTTGGCCAGGCTGGTCTTGAACTCCTGACCTCAAGCGATCTGCCTGCCTTGGCCTCCCAAAGTGCTGGGATTACAGGCGTGAGCCACCACGCCTGACTAAGAGTATTTTTTGAACAGTTCAGTATTTTAATAAGTATATACAATGGCGCAACTGTCACCACAGCCCAGTTTTAGAACATTTGGAGCATTTTTAAGGTGGCAATTCTTTTTCTTTTTTTTTTTTTTTGAGACGGAGTCTCGCTCTGTCGCCCAGGAGTGCAATGTGTGATCTCAGCTCACTGCAACCTCCGCCTTCCAGGTTGAAGCAATTCTCCCACCTCAGCCTCCCAAGTAGCTGGGACTACAGATGCCTGCCACCATGCTCAGCTAATTTTTGTATTTTTTAGTAGAGACGGGGTTTCACCACATTGGCCAGACTGCTCTCGAACTCCTGACCTCAAGTGATCTGCCCGTCTCATGCCAAAGTGCTGGAATTACAGGCATGAGCCACCGCACCCGGCCAAGATGGCAATTTTTTTTTTTTTCGGTAGGAGTCTCGCTCTGTTGCCCAGGCTGAAGTGCAGCGGTGCAATCTCAGCTCACTGCAAGCTCCGCCTCCCGGGTTCACACCATTCTCCTGCCTCAGCCTCCCAAGTAGCTGGGACTACAGGCGCCAGCCACCACGCCCGGCTAATTTTTTTGTATTTTTAGTAGAGACGGGGTTTCACCGTGTTAGCCAGAATGGCCTCGATCTCCCGACCTCATGATCTGCCCACCTTGGCCTCCCAAAGTGCTGGGATTACAGGCATGATCCTGGCCCAAGATGGCAGTTCTTAATACAAAAATTAGTCGAGTGTGGTGGTGGGCACCTGTAGTCCCCAGCTACTCCAGAGGCTGAGGCAGGAGAATCACTTGAACCTGGGAGGGGGAAGTTACAGTGAGCTGAGATCACGCCACTGCACTCCAGCCTGGGCGACAGAGCGAGACTCTGTCTCAAAAAAAATTAAAAAATAAAAATTAAAAATGGCAATTCTTTAACCAAAGCTAGTACATCTCAGGGTGCAAACTCTGAGAGCCCAAATACTTCAGAGCATCCATTCGAATCCCCTTATTTGGTAGAAAACCTCAGCCGGAGCTAGGAAGTGAATTCCTGCAGATCAGCAATGGCTGATGTGTTCTCTGCCAAGCTGCCCCTCAGTGGAGGCTTTTCAGGAAGTTGGGAGAGCAAAGAATTTGCCTGGTACTAATCAAGCAATGCTCTCATCCCTGCCCTCAGGATAAGATGCATGCCCCCTGAATGTGAAGGTCACACCAGGATGAGATCAACAACTTTTTTTTCCTACCTCTCTCTACCCGCTGCCCTCGCCAAGGGAGGCTCCTGCAATGAGTTATGTCCCCTGCAATTCCTGGGCTGATGGAAAAACGAGGCACACTCATCTCTTGACGCTAGCCTCATCCAACCATGTGGAATTCCAAAAGTTGCATACATTCAGACTAAACTGTCACCAGCTGTAACACTTCGGTGGGGGCACTCATCCATCCTTTCTGCTTAATACTGGCTTAGCGTGAGGGTGAGGGGGTTGGCTGGGAGGCTGAGCAATGAAGGGAACAGCCTGAGAGTTCCCACCAGCCTCCCCATTGCATCAAGGGCAGCCTCGCCCAGCAGTTCAGCAGAGGGAAAGGGACCAGAACACAGACCACCCCAAGACTCAGGAGGACTGAGACACTCACCTGCCACTGCCCATCATCAGTGAATCCAAGTCTCCCTTCACAAAGAAAGAGTTGCTTCCAGTCCACTTAAAGACCTGGGTGATAGGGAAAGGCTCAGGTAACTACGGGAGCGAGTCCCGCCCTTGCAGTTTGACCCCGAACCACTGGGTGGCAATGTTGTGGCGGGAACAGCATCCAGGCCGCAGCCGAGACGCAGGTGGGACTCCGGGTTCAGGGATCTTGGAGTTTCTCTTCTCAGTCTCCTTGGAGTCACCGCCACATGCCCTTTAGTTTGAATTCCTACAGCCTAGAAGCCACTTTGTTCTAGAATAGGACAACAACCTCTGAGGCTTCCTGCTTCCAAAGCTGGAGGGAGGAGGGGAGCAGTCCAGGCCAGGAGTGGGGACTGATACTGCCTCACCCGTTCAACACCAGCCCGCCTGCGCTTCAGCGCTGCCTCACATCCAGCTCATCCACAAGCCTCGCAGCTCTAGACATAGCCTGCCTGCCGCCATTTCTATCCCGTCCTCTGCTTGGATCACAGCCTCCCAGCTGGTCCCTCTGCCTCCACTGCCTGTACCTACAGCCATACCCACACTGCAATCTGCGTGATCTGTTCGACGTCCAAATCAGATGTTCCCTTTGCCTAAGTCCTCCAATGGCTTCCCATTGCAGTGGGGATAAAATTCAACTTAACAATGGCCAGAAGTGCAGCCTGGGCCTGGTGCAGTGGCTCATGCCTGTAATCCCAGCAATTTTTTAACTAGCCAGGTGTGATGGTGTGCACCTGTAATCCCAGCTACTCAGTAGGCTGAGGCAGAAGGATCGCTTGAGGCCAGGAGTTTCCTCGAGGTCAGGAGTTCTAGACCAACCAGGGCAACAAAGTAAGACCCTCCCTTATCTCTAAAAAATTTTTTTTCTCTTTCTCTCTTTTGACACGGAGGCTCGCTCTGTCACCAGGCTGGAGTGTAGTGGCGCAATCTCGGCTCACTGCAACCTCCGCCTCCAGAGTTCAAACGATTCCCCTGCCTCAGCCACCCGAGTAGCTGGGACTACAGGCATGCGCCACCACGCCCAGCTTTTAGTAGAGACGGGTTTCACCATGTTGCCCAGGCTGGTCTCAATCTACTGACCTCATGATCTGCCTGCCTCAGCCTCCCAAAGAGCTGGGATTACAGGCGTGAGTCACTGTGCCCGGCCCTAAAAAAATTTTTTTAAACCTAGCTGGTCATGGTGGTGTGCACCTATAGTCCCAGCTATTAGGGAGGCTAAGGTGGAAGGATCACTTCAGCCCAGGAGTGGAGGCTGCGGTGAGCTATGATTGCACCACTGCACTCTGGCGTGGGTAACAGAGCAAGACCCCAACTCTAAAAAACAAACAAAAAAAAACTGTCAAAACTTAAAAGTGCAGCCAGCTCTAACCCCTGATTTTCTCTCTGGCCTCTTTTCCCCCTTATTGACTACACTTTAGCTACACCAGTCTTTCCATCCCTGGAACACCCAAAGCCCATTCCCATTCCTGCCCTAGAATCCCTCTGCCCAGAATGCTCTTCCCCCAGATCCTCAGAGGGCCCACCTCTCATCCTTCAGCCCAAATGTCATCTCAGAGAAATTTCCTGGACCACCCTATCTGAAGTAGCCCTTCCTCCCAGACCCTGTTTTATTTCTCTTTATTTATATTAAAGACGTGAAGTTCCATGTTTGCGGACCAGCTCAGAGGCCAGTGTGGTTGGAACAGAGTGAGGGAAAGGAAGAGTAGCAAGAAATGCCATTCAGAGAGAGGCCAGAAGGCGTAGGGATGTAGATCATTGGACACACTTTGGCTCTTCCCCAAGTGAAAGAGGAAGCCAAGGAGTGACATGCTATGAGTTATAGCTTCCCCCCACCTTTTTTTAAATTTGTGTTAAGACAGAGTCTCACTCTGTCACCCTGGCTGGAGTGCAGTGGCACAATCTCAACTCACTGCAACCTCCGCCTCCTCCAGGTTCAAGAGATTCTCATGCCTCAGCCTACCGAGTAGCTGGGATTACAGGCACATACTACCATGCCTGGCTAATTTTTGTGTTTTTAGTAGAGCTGGGGTTTCACCATGTTGGCCAGATGGGTCTCAAACTCCTGACCTCAAGTGATCCACCCACCTCGGCCTCCCAAAGTGTTGGGATTACAGGCATGAGCCACTGCGCCCTGCCCTGGCTTCCCTTTTGAAAGGATCGCTCTAGCTACTGTGCTGACTGAAGTGGAGGCAGTGAGAGACCTTTTAGGAGGCAATAGCAGGGACACACAAGTAATGATGGTGGCTTGAACCAAGATGCCAGCAAAGGACATGGCAGTAGTGGATCCCGAATATAGAGAGAAGGCAGAGCTGTCAGGATTCGCTGACAGTTCAGATGTAAAGTTGTGAAAGACAGTTAAGGAGGACTTCAAGACTTTCTATCTCAGCAGCAGGAGAGGGAGATGCCATTCATTTGATGGGGGAAGACAGCAGGAGGAGGAGGCTTTGTGAGGGAAAGCCAGGAGGTCTGTTTGGGACATGATAATCTGGAAATGCCATGTTTGGGGCCAGATGCAGCGCTTATACCTGTAATACCAGCACTTTGGGAGGTGGAAGCAGGCAGATCACTTGAGCTCAGGAATTCAAAACCAGCCTGGGCAACATGGTGAAACCCCATCTCTACAAAAAATACAAAAATTAGCCAGGCATGGTGGCATGTGCCTGTAGTCCCAGCTACTTGGGAGGCTGAGGCAGGAGGATCAGTTGAGCCCAGGAGGTGGAGGCTGCGGTGAGCTGAGATGGCGCCACTGTACTCCAGCCTGGGTGACAGAGTGAGACTCTGTCTCAGAAAAAAAAGAGAAAAGAAATGCCATGTTTGAGATGCAGAGAGAGATGATGGGCAGTTGTTGGATATATGTGAGTTTGGAGTCAGGGAAGAGGCCATTAGCATACAGGCAGCATGAAGAACTGTGGGAATGGATGAGACCACAGAATAAATGAGGGCCGCTAGAGAAGATACGAGAACCAACACCTGAGCTCTGATGTTGAAAGACTGGGGAGATGAGGAGGAACCAGCAAAAGATTCTACTAGGAGCTGTCAGTGCAATGGAAGGAAAATTCTAGACCTTTAGAACTAAGACTTAAGTTCAGGAAGGCAAGTGGTGATGAGTAGTACCAGCACTGGCTCACCATGCCTCCCTCACCCTTTCCTGGATCCTGGGAAGCTTGATGGAGCCCCTCCAGCTGATGGCAGCAATGCAATAGATATGGTATATTTTGCCTTTAGCAAAGCAGTCCATAGCTCCTTGTGAACTCCCTGTCATGAGACCAGATGACCGTGTGATTGGATGTGTCTGAAGGAATCTTAGTCTGTGCATTGGAGAGATCTCTAATAGCAAAATACCTGGAACGACTTCATCCATTGAACAATTTAAAAAAAAATTTTTTTTAAGAGACAGCATCTCACTCTGTTGCCCAGGCTGGTCTTGAACTCCTGAGCTCAAGCAATCCTCCCACCTCAGTCCCGCAAAATGCTGGGATTACAGGTGTGAGCCAGCCACCGCACCTGGTCATTTTTTGTTTTGTTTTTGTTTTTCCCTTTTTGTGGAAAATAGCATCTTGCTCTGTTGCCCAGGCTGGTCTTGAACTCCTGGGCTCAAGCGATCCTCCTGCCTCTGCCTCCCTAAGAGTGCTGGGATTATAGGCATGAGTCACAGCGCTTGGCCTGGCCATTTTTACTAGTAGTAAAAATAGTCTGCTCTGTGCCAAGCAGGTACTGCTCAGTAGCTTTAGTGGATAAATAACCCAGAGGCAGGAAATCTTTGGATGGAAGGCGTTTGGGACTATTATTCTCACCCAGCTCCTGGGCAGGTCGAGCCACCCAACTATACCAGTCATCTTGTGCCTTTCACTCTCCCATTCGTCATTAATTAGAAACTTGAGCTCTGACTCACCACCCCCAACCCTTCACAGCTCTCTGGTAAACTTCACTATCCACGCGGACCTGTCCAGGCCCTGCCCTAGAATGCGTTTCTGCTGCTGTCTTCCATGGTCACATCTGAGAATTTGTCCTCAGCAAGGATGGCAGGTGGCTCTTCCACAGCCTATTTCAAATGTCCCTCTCTCTGTCCGCTGTATCCTGTCTTCCAACACATTGTCCAACTGCTGTCCCTACTCCAAGCCTTTGACGTCAGGGAGACCTCTCAGGCCAAGCCCACCTTTGCCTTGGTGTCCCGCAGTGCCCCCTGCTTCCCTCCCTTCCTTCTCCAGTCTAGGTTCTGTGGTCCATGTTGTATTGTCACTCCCTTCAACTTCCTTTCCCTCTCTGCCGCTGTTAAACCAGTTGGGCAAAACCCCTAACCCTGGCTGCCCGCTCTCTGCAGTCCACTCTCTGGTGTCCCCTCTCTGCAGGCCTGCGCCGAGCAGCCGATGCTGCTGAAGAAGCAGGTGCAGAAGTGGCGGCGCCCTAACCTCACAACCCAAGCCGCCACTCGCATGGCCCAGCGGCACTTCTGCTGCTCCGGTGTTCTCCAGCAGGCTTCCCTCCCTTCCCACACCTGTGATGACTGCGATACCCGATCCTTCACCTTCCTCCAGCAATGACCTCACCCTGTATTTCTTTTTTTTTTTTTTTTTTAGAGACAGGGTCTTGCTCTGTTGCCCAGGCTGGAATGCAGTGGTGCGATCACGGCTCACTACAGCCTCAACCTTCCAGGCTTAAGCGATCCTCCTGCATCAGCCTCTCAAGTAGCTGGGACTACAGGTGTGCTCTACCGTGTCTGGCTAATTTTTGTATTTTTTGTAGAGGTGGGGTCTCACTATGTTGCCCAGGCAGGTCTTGAAATCCTGGACTCAAGCAGTCCACCTTCGTTGGCCTCCCAAAGTAGGATTACAGGCATGAGCCACGGTGCCTGGCCCCCATGCTTCCTGAGAAGCCACTGGCTGTGTCCTTCTTCATCATCCTGCCACCACGCCCTCAGGTCTATCTTGTCTTCCCAGCCTGTGCCTGGAAAGCATGGTCCTCCCTCTCAGCCAGTCAGCGGTTGCCAGAGACCCACCAAGTATGTTTTGTTTTGTTTTGTTTTGTTTGTTTTTGAGATGGAGTCTTGCTCTGTCGCCCAGGCTGGAGTGCAGTGGCTCTATCTCGGCTCACTGCAAGCTCCGCCTCCCGGGTTCATGCCATTCTCCTGCCTCAGCCTCCCGAATAGCTGGGACTACAGGCGCCAGCCACCACGCCCGGCTAACTTTTTGTATTTTTAGTAGAGACAGGATTTCACCATGTTAGCCAGGATGGTCTCGATCTCCTGACCAAGTGATCCACCCGCCTCGGCCTCCCAAAGTGCTGGGATTACAGGCGTGAGCCACCGCGCCCAGCCAAACCCACCGAGTATGTTTTAAATGCAGGACAGACAGGTCAAGGGGGATGCTCTGCCCACCACTGCCCTGCTCATTACCCCTGTGGAAAGATAGTGGCACACCAGGCAGCCCATCGTGGAGGATGGTGCTGGGGGCCACTGGGACCCGAGGAGCTTTGTCTCACCACACGCCCCACTCCCCCCATGGAAGGTTGGGAACATCACCTTCAGCTGTGGTGAGAAGGAGAAGAGGAATGTCTCGCCGGTACCATAGAAGCCTTTGCTGAGTTGGATAGCCGAGGAGGAGAAGGCTCCAAATATCTGGAAAGCGGAAGTTGCAGTCTGCAGCTGGAGGGGAGCTGGGGGTCCTCTGACGACCCTCATTCTTTGGGTTTAGTAATACAGGCTCATCCTAGAGGGCACCTGGGAAGCTGGGGCAGAGCTGGGGCATGGGGGCTCCCCACCCAAGAGCAGGAATCCTCATGCATCCTTTCCCTTAATGCTCTCCAAGGAAGAGGTCCTGCTGGCTTCCTCCTCTGGGCAGTCAGGGCCCTCCTTTTTCTTAAATATACTTACTCTAGGCTGAGTGCAATGGCTCACGCCTGTAATCCCAACACTTTGGGGAGACAAGGGTGGGCTGATCACCTGAGGTCAGGAGTTCGAGACCAGCCTGGCCAACATAGCGAAATCCTGTCTCTACTAAACATACAAAAATTAGCCAGGTGTGGTGGTGGCACTTGTAATCCCAGCTACTTGGGAGGCTGAGTTAGGAGAATCGCTTGAACCCAGGAGGTGGAGGTTGCAGTGAGTCGAGATCATGCCACTACACTCCAGTCTGGGTGACAGAGCGAGACTCCATCTTAAAAAAAAATTATATATATATATATGTGTGTGTGTATATATATGTATATATATATTCATTCTATGCAAGTAATCGTGGAAAAAAGTAGCAGTTATAGAGAAGCAAAATAAAAAAAGTAAAGCCATCTCCTAATCCCCCTCATTCTTCCCCAAGATAATCACTCTTAATATTTTGGTATATTTCCTTCTGACATCAGTTTAATGCCAGTGTGTGTGTATGTGTGTGTGTATATATATATATATATATATATATTTTTTTTTTTTTTTTTTTTTTTTTTTTTCTTCAGACAGGGTCTCACTCTGTCACCCAGGCTGGAGTGCAGTGGTGTGATCATGGCTCACTGCAGCCTCAACCCCCCTACAATGCCCCCAGCTGCAGTTGCTGGGACTATAGGCAAACACCACCACACCTGGCGAATTTTGTTGTTGTTGTTTGTTTTTGGTTTTTGGTTTTTTTTTTTTTTTTTTTTTTGAGATGGAGTCTTGCTCTGTTGCCCAGGCTGGACTGCAGTGGCCGGATCTCAGCTCACTGCAAGCTCCGCCTCCCGGGTTTACGCCATTCTCCTGCCTCAGCCTCCCGAGCAGCTGGGACTACAGGCGCCCGCCACCTCGCCCGGCTAGATTTTTGTATTTTTTAGTAGAGACGGGGTTTCACCGTGTTAGCCAGGATGGTCTCGATCTCCTGACCTCGTGATCCGCCCGTCTCGGCCTCCCAAAGTGCTGGGATTACAGGCTTGAGCCACCGCGCCCGGCCAGTTTTGGTTTTTTTTTAGAGACAGGGTCTGGCTATGTTGTCCAGGCTGGTCTTGAACTCCTGGACTGAAGCAATTCTCCTGCTTCAGCCTCCCAAAGTGCTGGGATTACAGGTGTGAGCCACCGTGCCCAGCAACCCCCACACTTTCTTCTACTTCTGAGGATGAAGATGCAGTTTTACAGTCAAACGATTATTTGCTTAATTGTCTGACCCTTCCCCTATTAGACCATTAGCTCCAAGAGAGCTGGGGCTGCTTCTGGGTTGATTCTGCTCTATCCCACCTCTCACCTGGCACACAGAAGGCGCCCCATGTAGATGTGTTGAATGCATAAATGGGGGAATGGCTCTGAGTGGGCAGGTCCCATTGCCATCATCAGTGTCCATTACAGGTGACTTAGTCTTTCACTCTGTCTGCTTGTCCCTGAGCTGCCCTGGGTCAGAGCCCATGGGTACCTGGTGGGGTGCCCCCAGAGCCTCGGGTGGCACCCCTGCCCAGCTCACCTGCCCGTCCTGGTCCCTGAGCACCAGCAGCACTGGCCCGCTGCAGCCCTCCATCCGCCGGTACAGGCTCTGCAGGCTGAAACCGTCCCTCGACGTGCAGAAGACCAGACTCCAGGGATGGCCGGTGACTCTTGGTGGGAAGTGAAAGCTGAGCTGGGGACAGGGCTGGAGGTGAATGGAGGAGTTCTTGCTCCCTCCTGCCATATCCTGGGGATGGGCTTGGACAGCCACCATGCATCCAGCCCAGTGCTTTATAGACGATAGAGCAGTTTGCTGATTCTAGGGACTTTCATGCCATTAGCAATAGCCCTCGGAGATAAGGGTTGTTATTCCCATGTTACAGATGAGGAAACTGAGGCTCAGGGAGGTGGAACAACTAGCCCAAAGCTCACATGGGTAGTGAATGGCAGAGCCAGGATTTGAACCCGGGTCAGGACTCTCAAGACTGTTTCTGCTCGGTCACCCCGGCCCCCAGAGGCCAGAGAATAGGAAAGATGCTGAACCCCTCCTCCTGATCCATCGTCTCATCCGCTCCCCCCTCTCCGACTTTGGCCTCAGTTCCCAAGGGCTGGTTCTATGTAGGAATTAGTCTCTTTCCTTTTTTTCCTTTGAGACAGAGTCTCACTCTGTCACCCAGGCTGGAGTAGAGCGACACAATCTCAGCTCACTGCAACCTTCGCCTCCTGGGTCCAAGCAAATCTCGTGCCTCAGCCTCCCGAGTAGCTGAAACTACAGGTGCGCACCACCACGCCAGGCTAATTTTTGTATTTTTAGTAGAGAAAGGATTTTGCCATGTTGGCCAGGCTGGTCTCCAACTCCTGGCCTCAAGCAATCCCCCAGCCTTGGCCTTCCAAAGTGCTGGGATTACAGGCATGAGCCACCGCGCCCGTCCTAGCCTCTTTCTTTACCTCCTTAACCTCCTGGCCCAGTGTAGAGGGAGGTGCTAGCAACACTGGATGATTTTACAAGAAAGGAAGCAAAGCCCCGAGAGAAGAAGCAATTTGCCAGAAGTAATGCATGATGAGAACAGAGCAAGGGTGACTCTAGGTGCCCCTGGGTGTGGCTGGTATAAGGCAGGAGGGTGAGACTCAGGTTTAGGGCTGAAATTCTTGTGCCATGGGCAGTGTCCGGACCTGCCTAATATCTGAGGCACTCAAAACTTGGCTGGCTTCTGTCAGCTGGGGCACCATGGGATCCTCAGGAGCAGCAGCTGGGTCTGGAGCTGCTTCCTCCTCCTCTTCCTCCTCGTTACCCTCCTCCCCAGACAGGGTGTCCTCCACCTGGGTGGGCTGCGAAAACACAAAGAGGCCTGGTGGGTCCAGGGACAGGAGGTCCCAGCTTCTACCATCTCCTGAGCCCAGGAGCCTCCTCGGGCCCCCTCATCACTCCCTGCCCATGTGCCTGTAACCCCCAGCCCAGCCCAGAGTATTTGGGGGTTTCCACGACAGACAGAATGCTGCCCCTGCTGCCAGCCTGCTTCCTCCCTGGTCCCTGCCGGCTCAGGGCTGGAGCACAGTCCCCTGACCCCCGCCAGCACCCCACAAGGCTCAGATGGGGCCATGGGCCCTGCAGTTTGTCGGCCTGTTTGCCCTGGATCCTGGGTGGGTGGCAGGGATCAAGTTCTAAGCTTGGGAGCAGAGGAGAAGGCAGATGGTGGCCCAGCCCTGGGAACTTCAATTGTGTGTGTTTGTACATTAAATAATGAAAACAACAAAAAGCCCATCCTCGCCCAGGCCTGTGTTCAGTGTGTTCAGTGTGCGCTGTCTGTGATCTCTGTGTATTTCTTCTTCTTCATCTTTTTTTTTTTTTTTTTTTTGAGACAGGATCTTGCTCTGTCACCCAGGCTGGAGTTCAGTGGTGCAATCTTGGCTCACTGTGACCTCCGGCTCCCAGGTTCAAGCAATTTTCTTGTCTCAGCCTCCCAAGTAGCCAGGACTACAGATGCCCACCAGCATGCCTGTTTCCTCATGTTGGTCAGGCTGGTCTCGAACTCCTGACCTCAGGTGATCCGCCTGGCTCGGCCTCCCAAAGTGCTGGGATTATAGGCGTGAGCCACCACCCCCGGCTTATTTATCAGCATTTTCCAAAGGAAGAAAAGGAAGCCCAAAGGTTTCCCCATGAAGCCCATGAAATGATGCACGCAGTCATATGTGAGATCATATATGTAAGTTCATGTAAAATGTGTTTGTCTATGTGAATTGTATGTTGGCTTGGAATAGAGTTGTGTAGGCACATCAATGTGAGGAGGTACTGAGTGTAAATGTGTGTACTTATATATCAATGTGTTTGTGTGAGTTGGGATGGTGTAAATATGTACATCCATCAGGGGCATCATTAATCACTCACTCATTCATTCAATTGAGCTTCCACTCTGTACCAGAGTGTGTGTATGTGCGTGTTTAATGTGTGTGTTTGAATGTGTGTATGTCTGTATGTGTGAGTGTGTGAGTGCATTTGAGTGTGCATGTGTGTGTGTATTTGAGTGCATGTGTGTCTGAGTGCATTTGAGTGTGTTTGAGTGTGTGTGTTTGCATGCGTGTGTGTGTGAGTGTGTATATGTATGTGTGCGCGCGCCTCCACACAATGACCTTGCAGGCTTTTCCCAGGAAAAAGAGACCTCTCAGGGGCTGAGAGATGGACAGGACCCCCTCTCCTGCCCCGCTCTGTTCTCCAGGCTCAGGCCTGAGGCAGGGGCTAGCTGTGTGTGGCTCTGAACAGAGCTGCATCCAGCACCCACTCCAGGGAGGAAGGGACAGGGACATCGGTCTGTTCTCCTTGAGGACCTTGGAGCAGGGGGGTTAAGACCCCACGTTCCTGAGTCAGTCCTTGCTCCAAACCACAGGCCTGCCAGGGAGGGACTGGAGAGGGGAACAAGTCACCACCCGCATCCAACCCTAGCCCAGGCCCCAGCCTGCCAGAGACCTCGCCTCCTTCCACCTCCTAACCTGCACCACAGCCAGAGCTGGAACCCTTACCAGCCGAGTGTAACGCCAGCGGAGGCCTCTCATTCTCCTGTCCCTGCCCGGCCGGCCGTGGGCAGTGAGTGAATCCTCAGCCCTGCCCAGGAAGGAAGCGCTGATAGGTGAGGCCTAGAGATGAGAGGGAGAGGCCTGGGACACACCCAGCCGGCTCCATGCCCACCCAGCTGCCCTTTGCTCCCTCTCACCTGTCACTCCCAGGCCGAGCTGCTGCTGGGTGGGTCTGTGAGCAACTCGGCATTCAAGGCCTCATTGCAGTTAGCATCTAACATGTATTAACCATACACCATAAATTCTAGTTGCAATTCCTTTCCACCTCCTTGCCCTTCTGGCAGCCTGGCCTGGGGACTGTGGGCCATTGGCCAGATGACTAAGGCCCAGGCTGGAGGTCTGGGGCCTCTAGTTCCCCGTATGACCTTGCATAAGCCCATTTGAACTCCTGAGCCTCAGTTTTACCACACTTAACATGTTGAACCAGATAATCTCAGAAGCCTTTGCGGGACTGACAGGCTGCCATTCACTTCCCTCTCCACGCCGATGAGTGCATTAGAACGGAAGCTAGAAGGGGGCATGCCTAGACCAAAAGAATAATCTGGCTGTGTGCGGTGGCTCATGCTGGTAGGCTGAGGGAGGTGGATAACTTGAGTCCAGGAGTTTGAGACCAGCCTGGGCAACATGGTGAAACCCTGTCTCTACAAAAAAAAACAAAACAAAGATTAACTGGCCGTGGTGTCGTGTGCCTTAATCCCAGCTCCTCGGAAGACTGAGGTGGGAGGATCACCTGAGCCTGAGGGGAGGAGGCTGCAGGGAGCCGAGACTGCGCCACTGCACTCCAGCCTGGGTGACAGAGTGAGGCCCTGTCTCAAAAAAAAAAAAAAAAGCTATTTTTACTTTGCATCCTAAACATAAATGTATTTTAGGCTTTCATCATTGCTTTGCTTGTCACTTAACAGAAAGTTTCTTTACTAAGTCTTTGTTTCTTTTTCCATATTTAGTTTCAGATGGGGGTGGGGGGAACAGATGCAATTCTAAATTGAAACATAAATAAACTTTTGTTAATGTTCAGTAAAAAAAAGAAAAGAAAAGAATAGATTATTTTAAAAGATTTTTAAAATTATTTATTTATTTATTTATTTATTTTTGAGATGGAGTTTCACTCTTGTTGCCCAGGCTGGAGTGCAGTGGCGCCATCTGGGCTCACCGCAACCTCCGCCTCCCAGGTTCAAGCAATTCTTTTGCCTCAGCCTCCACCCAGCTAATTTTGTATTTTTAATAGAGATGGGGTTTCTCCATGTTGGTCAGGCTGGTCTCGAACTCCTGACATCAGGTGATCCACCCGCCTCACCCTCCCAAAGTGCTGGGATTACAGGCATGAGCCACCTTGCCCGGCCAAAGCTTTTTTTTTTTTCTAATTAAAAAGTGATATTTAGATATTGTAGAAAATTTGAGAAACCAGAAAAGAATAAGAATATAAAAATGTTCACAATTCTATCTGTCACAAATAAACTCTTAACCCCCAAGGGTGTATGTTCCAGTCTTTTATATTTATTTCACATAGACACATGTATACACATTTGCAAAGGGATCACACCATGTGTTCATACCATATTGACCACACAGTTTTTTTTGTTTTTTTTGTTTGTTTTTGAGACAGAATCTTGCTCTGTCGCTCAGGCTGGAGTGCAGTGACATGATCTCAGCTCGCTGCAACCTCTGCCTCCCGGGTTCAAGAGATTCTCCTCTCTCAGCCTCCCAAATAGCTGGGATTAGAGGCGTGCACCAACACACCCAGCTAATTTTTGTATTTTTAGTAGAGACGAGGTTTCTCCATGTTGGTCAGGCTGGTCTCGAACTCCTGACCTCAGATGATCTGCCCTCCTCAGCCTCCCAAAGTGCTGGGATTACAGGCCTGAGCCACTGCGCCCGTCCAACCACACAGTTTTATAAAGTACTTTTTCTACTAACAACAATCAAGAATTCTCCAAGGTACCCTACGCTCTTGGAGTGCATGATTCCTGGAGTGGCTGCGCAGTATTTAATCACGGGACATTCATCATTTGTTCCCCCTGCTGTTGGACATTTTGTTTACTTCTAATTTTCTCTAATTATTAGCAAAACTGCAATGAACGTTGTTCATAAAACTGATTGCACCCTTTATGATAAATTTCAAAAGTTGAATGCTGGATCAAAGGCCATACACATAGTTCTTGATAAGTGTTTCCAACAAAGTTACCCAGGTGCTTAAAGTTGACCCATGTCCGAGTACTTTTAGGGAAGCTCAAGGTAGTATCTTTCTGGTCATCAAACCTTAAAACCCTCGGACTAGAGATAAGGAAACTGCCATTCAGAAAAGGGAAGGAACTCATCAGTCACTTGACATTGTAGTACGGCAGTTAAGAGGACAAGCTCTGGAGTCAGGGAGTTCAAATCCTGGTTTTGTCACTTACTTTGCTGTGTGGCCTTGGGAAAATTACTTTACATCTCTGTGCTTCAGTCACCTCACCTGTAATATTAATATATATGCCTACATCAGGGCTGGTTGTAAGAGTAAATGAAGTTAAATCCTAGAGAGCTAGGGTGCTAAGCCAGGCATCCAACCTACTGACCTCGGTTTGGTGAGATAACAGTACCTTATGTTGTTTGTGGGTGCTGGGTGAGTGGCAATACTTATTACAATCTCCCTACACTGACTCTTTGAGAGTCTAGGGTTCGAATCCCTGACAAGTGGCCCCTCAGCCTCCACCTGGGTGCCTCTGGGACAGGCAGTCACTTGGTCAGTTGCAGGGTGAGGAACTCAGAGGGAGAAGGGAAATAGGGGAGCCGTGGAAGGATGTACTCACCCAGCCTTTAGCGTATCTCCCTGATCCCCAGAGAGGGGGCCACACATGGCACTGACCCTGCCCACCTGGTGGTCTGTATGCGGCCGGTTTAGCTCCGATCCCTGGTCCCCGGGTAGGTGGCTGGCCCTCTGCCCCGGCTCTGGCTCCGGGCTCTCCTCCCTAGCTCTTATATCTGCCCAGAGGGCAGCAAGCCTTGGCCCTGTGCCCACTCTGGTTCCAACTGGGAAGGCCTGGCAGTGATTACGACACATCAGAAACTCAAATCCCACAAGCACACACAAACAAGACCTTGCCATCCCCCTGGCCCCCAGCCCTGCCCCCAACAGCCCAAAGGGGTGGGGATACCAGGCATCTTGGCTCTCCTGAAGCCTCTCACCACAGCTGCCAGACGCCAGGTCCTGGAGCTTGATGCCCACCACTGAAGACCATTCCCTTGAGGTTAAAATCTGTGATATGACTGGACATGGTGGCTCATACCTGTAATCCTAGGATTTGGGGAGTCTCAGGTGGGAGGATCGCTTGAGCCCAGGAATTTGAGAACAGCCTGGACAACATGGCACAACGCAACTCCATCTCTACAAAAAAATTTTTTAAAAATTAGCCGGGTGTGGTGGCACATGCCTGTAGTCCCAGCTACTTGGGAGGCTGAGATGGGAGAATCACCTGAGCCTGGGAAAGTCGAGGCTGCAATGAGCTGAAATCACATCACTGCACTCCAGCCTGAGCAACAGGGTGAGACCCTGTCTCAAAAATAAAAGAAAATAAAATCTGTGGTCTACAAACACTACAGGAAAGGGTGAGGTTGTGGGGTTCTCCGTCAGTCACCCTGTGCTCCAGGCCTGGTAGGCTTGGCCCCTGCTGGTTCCCTCTCAGATGAGATGAGGACGTTTCTCACTGGACCGTGGTGACATTAGGTAAGGTTACACACAGGAAGCCATGTTGAGCATGCAGTAGACGCTCCATTGAAGAGGGGACTACTTCTCCGTCCCCAGCTCACAGTAAGATCTCCATGACTGCTCTGCTGTTGTCTCACAGAACTTCAACGCTCAAAGGGGCTTCAGTAGCCTGCCCCTGGGGTGGGAATCCCTGAGGAATGCGCCCCGGTCACAGGCCTATTAGGTGGGTGAGCCCACCATTTCACAGATGGCTTGTGCCATCTTCCCACAGCTGGAAGAGACCCTGTTCTGCTGGACTTGGTGGAGAGGACCCGGGTCCCCAGATGCCCTGCTCATGGCCGGGTGTCCTGGGGCAATGTTCCCTCCGGGAAGTGTGGGATGCCAAAAGGACATGTATTATGGGGAAAACAAGTAAGCGAAGGGCCCTGTTGCCACCTCAAACATGGCTGTTGCAATGTGTGTTTAAGCTATAAACGGCTTGGGGATCGCATGCCTAGCACTTCTAGCCACCCCTCCTCCAAGCTCAACACCTGAACCGCTGAGCCCTTTGAGAAGCCAGTGGGGTTTGCCTTGCTGTCCCATTATTTGTCCTCATGGTCAGGAAAACTCAGCGTGTGATCTGGCAACAACATCAACTGCCACATAACCAGATGCTAGAAAGCTTCCATGATGGAGACTGGGCACGGTGGCTCATGCCTGTAATCCCAGCACATTGGGAGGCCAACATGGGCAGATCACCTGAGGTCGGGACTTCAAGACCAGCCTGGCCAACATGGCAAAACCCCATTTCTACAAAAAATACAAAAAAAATTTAGCTGAGTGTGGTGGCGCATGCCTGTAGTCCCAGCTCCTTGGAAGGTTGAGGCAGGAGAATCGCCTGAACCCAGGAGGCGGGGGTTGCAGTGAGCCAACATTACGCCACTGCACTCCGTCCTGAGCGACAGAGTGAGACTCTTTGACTCAAAAAAAAAAAAAAAAAAAAAAGGCTGGGCGCATTGGCTCACACCTGTAATCCTAATATTTTGGGAGGCCGAGGCAGGTGGATTGCTTGAGGTCAGGAGTTCAAGACCATCCTGGCCAACGTGGCAAAATCCCATCTCTACTAAAAATACAAAAAAAAACATAGCTGGTTGTGGGGGCACACGCCTGTAGTCCCATGTACTTGGGAGGCTGAGGCAGGATACTCACTTGAACCCAGGAGGCAAAAGTTGCAGTGAGCTGAGATCACACCACTGCACTCCAGCCTGGGCGACAGAGCAAGACTCTGTCTCAAAACAACAACAACAACAACAAAAACTTCTATGATGGAATTCCAGATACCAGAGGGCCTGACAGATGTCTGGATGCTGAGGCCTTGAAGTTTACCTTCTTTTTATATGTTTATATCTCTATTTATTTATTTATTTATTTATTTATTTTACTTTATTTTTGAGACGGGTTCTTGCTCTGTTACTCAGCCTGGAGTGCAATAACATGATCACAGCTCAGTGCAGCCAGTCTCCTGGGCTCACACAATCCTCCTCCCTCAGCCTCCTGAGTAGCTAGGACTACAGGCATGCGCCATCATGCCCTGCTAATTTCTTTTGTTTATTTATTTATTTTTGTGGAGACAGGGTCTCACTATGTTGCCAAGGCTGGTCTTGAACTCCTGGTCTCGAGTGAGCCTCCCACCTCAGCCTCCACTGTTGACATTACGGGTGTGAGCCACTGCACTCAGCCTATTTTAAATTTTCTTTCTTTCTTTCTTTCTTTCTTTCTTTCTTTCTTTCTTTCTTTCTTTCTTTCTTTCTTTTTTTTTTTTTTTTGACAGAGTCTCCTTCTGTCATCCAGTGGAATGGCATGATCTTGGCTCATAGCAACCACTCCCTCCTGGGTTCAAGCAATTCTCCTGCCTCAGCCTCCCAAATAGCTGGGACTACAGGTGTGTGCCACCATGCCCAGCTAATTTGCATTTTTTTAGTAGAGACAGGGTTTCACCATGTTGGCCAGGCTGGTCTCAAACTCCTGACCTCAAGCAATGCACCTGCCTTGGCCTCCCAAAGTACTGGGATTACAGGCATGAGCCACCGCACCTGGTCCAGCATGGGAGTTTTGATCTACTATTTCTCACCTGGGTCAGTTCACTCCTCCTTGGGCAACCTAGTGGTCCCTGCTCCGGGGAGGTCACCATGCTAATGCTGAACTTAGTGCAGACACTAAATCAACATAGTGCACTCTAGCCCAGAACTCCAGGGCTCAAGCCATTGTCTTGCCTCAGCCTCTCCAGTAGCTGGGACTATATGCGCTGCCACTGTGACCAGCAATTTGCCTTCTTGGCCAGACCTCATGCTGCCTGTTTCAGAACTGCAATAGTCATCCAGGAAACAATTTAAGTGTCCAATAAAAGGGGGAAAGGTGAGGTGATTCATGGAACATCATCAATTCAATGGATTATTTCTGTGTGTGTGTGTGTGTGTGTGTGTGTGTGTGTGTGTGTGTGTGTTTTGACAGAGTTTTCCTCTTGTTGCCCAGGCTGGAGTGCAATGGCATGATCTTGGCTCACCACAACCTCCACCTCCCGGGTTCAAGCCATTCTCCTGCCTCAGCCTCCTGAGTAGCTGGGATTACAGGTATACACACCACCACGCCCGGCTAATTTTTTTGTATTTTTAGTAGAGATGGGGTTTCACCGTATTAGCCAGGATGGTCTTGATCTCCTGACCTTGTGATCCGCCCGCCTCAGCCTCCCAAAGTGCTGGGATTACAGGTGTGAGCCACCGCGCCCAGCCCAGTGGATTATTTCTAAGTATGAAAGTGATGTTTGCAAAGAGCTTATAAATGTGTTATAAATGTGTGGGGATATGCTTCTGCTACCCTATTAAGTGAAAAAGCAGTACACAAATTGCATAGGCAGTAAGATTTCAGCTATGCAAATCAAACTTGAAATTAGCAAAGAGAAAATGATTAAAAGGGAATACACCCAGTCTTCACTGGGCTGACTGGCTCCCCTTTGAACCTCAGGTCAGTATAAGATGACCAGACACTCTCTGACATGTGCCGGAAGTTTTGATTTTCACTCTCTGAGATCTCTTCTTTCCCTTACTCTTGAATGGCTGGCAACTGCATTCTTCATTGAGAAAACAGAAGTGGGCCAGGCACTGTGGCCCGTAACTGTAATCCCAGCACTTTGGGAGGTCGAGGTGGGTGGATCACTTGAGGTCAGGAGTTTGAGACCAGCCTGCCCAACATGGTAAAACCCTGTCTCTACTAAAAATACAAAAGTTAGCCAGGCATGATGGCAGGCACCTGTAGTCCCAGTTACTTGGGAGGCTGAGGCAGGAGAATTACTTGAACCTGGGAGGCGGAGGTTGCAGTGAACTGAGATGGTGCCACTGCACTCCAGCCTGGGTGGCAAAGCGAGACTGCATCTAAAAAAAAAAAAAAATTCGCTAGGCATGGTGGTGGGCGCCTGTAATCCCAGCTACTCGGGAGGCTGAGGCAGGAGAATCACTTGAGCTCGGGAGGCGGAGGTTGCAGTGAGCTGAGATCGTGCAACTGCACTCCAGCCTGGGCGACAGAGTGAGACTCTGTCTCAAACAAACAAACAAAGCAGCAGCTGGGCACTGTGGCTCACACCTGTAATCCCAGCACTTTGGGATGCCAAGGCGGGCGGATCTTGAGGTTAGGAGTTCGAGACCAGCCTGGCCATCATAGTCAAATTCTGTCTCTACTAAAAATACAAAAAAATTATCCAGGTGTGGTGGTGGGTGCCTGTAATCCCAGCTATTCGGGAGGCTGAGACAGGAGAATAGCTTGAACCCGGGAGGTGGAGGTTGCAGTGAGCCAAGATCACACCACGGCACTCCAGCCTGAGCAACACTCCGTCTCAAAAAAAAAAAAAAAAAAAAAAAAAAAAAAAAGCAAGGCCCTAACTATTCAGTGACTCCTTGAATAACTCAGTTTAGGCCAGGCACGGTGGCTCGGGGCTGTAATCCCAGCACTTTGGGAGGCAGAGGCAGGCGGATCACAACGTCAGGAGATCAAGACCATCCTGGCTAACACGGTGAAATCCCGTCTCTAAATTGGCCGGGCTTGGTGGCGGGCACCTGTAATCCCAGCTACTTGGGAGGCTGAGGCAGGAGAATGGCGTGAACCTGGGAGGCAGAGTTTACAGTGAGCCAAGATTGCACCACTGTACTCTAGCGTGGGCGACAGAGCGAGACTCCGTCTCAAAAAAAAAAAAAAGAATAATTCAGTTTAAAGGCTGCCTCCTCAGCTGGGTGCAGTGGCTCACACCTGTAATCCCAGCACTTTGGGAGGCCAAGGTGGGCTGATCACGAGGTCAGGATATCCAGACCATCCTGACCAACATGGTGAAACCCCATCTCTACTAAAAATACAAAAATTAGCTGGGCGTGGCGGCTCATGCCTGTAATCCCAGCTACTAGGGAGGCTGAGGCAGGAGAATTGCTTGAACCCAGGAGGCAGAGGTTGCAGTGAGCTGAGATTGTGCCACTGCACTCCAGCCTGGCAACAGAGCTAGACTCCATCTCAAAAAAAAAAAGGCTGCCTCCTCCAAGAGGCCTTCCTGACTCCCCTGTTTAAAGAGGTTTCCTGACCAGTTCCTCTAATTCTCCCATAGCCAGAGTTGCTTGTTTCTTTCATTTGTATAGTGAAAAAAAAAAAAAAAAAGAAAACAAAGAAAACAAAACAACTTTTGTCTAAAAGAAAAAAACACACCTCCTCTTGGAAGCTTTCCAGGAGTGAGTCTCCATTCAGTTTTCATCACGTTGGTCAATTTAGCAGCTTGAATGGGAGAAATGAAACCTTTTTTCCACTTGGGTAATCAGCATCTTCACTTCTTATGTTGTATAATTCTGACAATGTAATGCTTCAGTCTTTTTTGAGTAGAGCTTTCTGCAGCACACACTATGTGCCTGCACTGGGCACTTCGCAGCCCAATTGGGTACCACAACAGGCTCTGGAATCAGGCAGTCCTGGGTTCAAGTCAATCCCGGCCCTTCTACTTCCGAGCTGTATAAGTATTGGTCATGCATTCCTGCTACCCAGTGCTACGTAACAAATGACCCCAAAACTTAGTGGCTGAAACAACAATATTTATTTTGCAGTTTGGGCGGGGTTGGTGAAACAGTTCATTTCTGCTCTACTTGTCCACTGGGGTGGCTCCAAGCCTGGGGGCTGAATCATCTACAGGCTCACTCTCTCACATGTCTGGTGGTTAGTGGGGACCAGAGCTGGAGTTGTTGGCTAGATCACCTTCGTGCGGTCTCCACATGAGGCCTGGGCTTCCTCCCATCATGGTGGGTGAGTGGCCAGAGAGAGGGAGAGAGAGAAAGAGAGAGAGAAACAAGCTGGGTGGAATCATGTTGCTTTTTATGACCTAACGTTGGAAGTCACAGATGAACACTTCTGCCATACTCTGTTGGTTGAGGCAGTCACAAGATCTGCTGAGATTCAAGGTGGGGGCACACAGACCGTGCTGCTCAATCGGAGGAGCATCAGTGACACATTGTAAGAAAAGCAACCGGGATGAGATACACCCTTTGGAAAATATTAATCAGCTACAAGAAGTATCTTCACCTTTTGGAGATCCTTTACTGAAATGTGGAGCATAGAGCCCGGCACGCAGAGAGAGGCCATATGTCACACAGCTGCAGGATGTGCTGGCAGCAAGGACGGTCACCCTGTCTACAATGTAGCCAGTTCTGGACTCTCAATAAGTCTCATCTCCTTTGTGGTATCCCTGGTCTGAACTGACCCTGAGTCCAGAGTCCCTACATCAGCCCCACCTAAACCCTCCCCACCAGGGCCCTGTTGTTCTCAAGGCTTCCCTGGGTCTGCAATATAGATTCTTGACTCCCCAAATCCAAAGAACATCACAGCAGGTGGGAGTCACAGGCCCCTTCCTGGCCAGCCACGAGTGTTGGGCCCAGAGAGGATACATGGTAGAGCCAGGACTCAGATCCCCGCCCTAGTAGAGAGATGCAGGCCACTTTAATCTCAGGACCACTGATGTGACCAAGGATGTGTCAGGAGTGGCTGAGCCAGCCTGGTCTGCTATGTCCCTGCATTCACACCACCCAACACCTCCAAGTCCATGTTCTGCATAGTGGGAGAAACTGAAGCATAGAGAGAGGACACGCTTTCCAAGAGCTTCACAGCACCTTTCTGTGCCAGACTAGATGCAGCCTACTAGAGCCAGGGGCATCTGAGCTGGACGGATCCCGTCATCTGTTGCATTAGACCAGAGCAGCTGGGGACTCTGAGGCCCGGAATGTGGGAAGGCCTGCCCTGGGTCACTAGCCTGCGGCTCCCACATCCTTCTCCAACACTCCTGCCCCCCATGCCGTGCCATGCCACCCTGTTTGTGCTGAGTCTTTTGTGGTCCCCCACACACACTGTGTGCTCCACGAGGTCAGGCACTGACATGCCCACCACTGCGTCCCTCAGTGTACCTGGCGCCTGTGCAAACAGGGTTTGTGGACAGTCAGTGGGGGGTGAGGCAAGTTGGTGTCTTGCCAGGAAGGGTGGGGATGCCCCTGCGGAAGTATTTGCCAAGAGCCTGCTGAGGGCCCGCTCCTCACTTGGCCACGTGGAGGGCACTTAGCGTTGGGGTGGAGGAGCAGTCACACGCCTGGATCCAGATGGAGTCACGCCTCTGGAGAGAGGGGATGCCCCAGGAGTGTATTCACTGCGTGTGGGGGAGGTGGGACAGAGACAAAGAAGTGGACCTGGTGCCTGCTGTGTCACAGGCAGGTGCAGAGGTGAAGGAAGGGGATTGGGGGAGGAAGAAGGAGAAAATGGGCAGGAGGAAGAAGAGGGGAAAGAGGAGGAAAAGAAAGACTTGGAAAAGGAGGGGGGAAGGAAGGGGAAAGGTGGGAGAAGAAGGAGGAAAATAGAGCAGGGGATAAATGGGAGGGGGAGAAGAGAACAGGAGGAGGAAGAGGCTGCAGAGGGGCAAAAACAGTCCTGCCCTCCTGGTGGCAAGGGGTGTGGGGCGTCTTGAGGCCGAGGGTCCATCTGTGGGGCAAAGGACTCAATCCAGCTCTGCCCTGCGGTGGCTCAGGGATGGGGCACAGCAGCCAGGTGGCGTGGGGGCTGGGGAAGGTGTGAGAGACACGGGAAAATCAACACGGCCAGGAGCCAAGGAGACGCCCAGACGCCCGGGAGGAAAGAAAACACACCCACCAGAGCTCAAGTCCTCCTGCGATGCTCCTGGTGGGGACATGTGGGGTCAGGGCAACCGTCCCAGCCCATGCCAGCCCCCACCGGGGCCAAAACCGCCTTCCAAAGCATCCGCTAGGCTGACATCTCATAATGGGTCGCCTCCATTTTATTTTTGCATTTATTTATTTATTTATTTATTTATTTATTTGAGATGGAGTCTAGCTCTGTCATACAGCCTGGAGTGCAATGGCGCGATCTCGGCTCACTGCAACCTCTGCCTCGCAGGTTCAAGCGATTCTCCTGACTCAGCTTCCCGAGTACCTGGGATTACAGGCATCCCCACCACGCCAGGCTAATTTTGTATTTTTAGTAGAGACGGGAGTTTCACCATGTTGGTCAGGCTGGTCTCGAACTCCTGACCTCGTGATCCGCCCGCCTCGGCCTCCCAAAGTGCTGGGATTACAGGCATGAGCCACCGCGCCCGGCCACAGGTCGCTTCCATTTTAGCCTTACATAGCCTGAAACCCGGGTCGGGGGGCGCATGGGGAGTAATCTTCGCCGGTCAAGGTGCGCGAGCCAGACATGCACGCAGGGCTCCACGGTCCCTACCCCAGGGGAGGCAAGCTGAGGCAGGGGGAGCCCGAGCGCGCCCGGGAGGTGTGAGCTTTGGGTTCCATCGGCACCGTCTAGACCGTGAGCTTGGCGCGTGCACCCCGGGCTTCAGTTTACGCATCTGTGCGATGGGATCGCTGCTCCGGCGGTGCCGGCTGAGGGGGCGGAGTTCGCGCACGCTCTGCACCGGGCGAGGGGCGAGGCGCGCTGGGTGTGCATGGATACGGGCTCCTGCGAACTGAGGTCCGCGCGGCCTCGGCCCGGGAGTCCCGGCTCCCGCCGCTCTCGCGGGCCCTGCCCGGACGCCGGGCGCAGGGGCGCCTCCGCCGGGTGCGTTCCCCGGGCGGGCAGGGAAGGAGGCGGCGGAGCGGAGGAGGAGGGAGCCCGGGCAGCGGCTGCCCGCGCCCGCCTGACCCTCGAGGGGGTCGCTGTTGCCTCGCAGATCCCTCCCTCGCTCCCTGCTTGCGTCCCTCCCTCGCTCCCTGCTTGCGTCCCTCCCTGCCGCTCTCGCCGCGTCCGCCTTTTGTTCGTGGAACCGCGCGCCCCCGAGCCGAGGCGGCGGGGCGGGGAGCTGGCGGGGCTGCGCGGGGGGCGGGCCGCGCCGGGCGGAGCCGGGGCCCGGGCCGCAGCCGGACTCGGAGCCCGAGGGAGCGATCGGCGTGCGGGCGGCGGGGGCCCGGGCGCGCTCCGGGGGCGCGGCGAGGCCGAGGGGGCGGGCGCCGGGCGGAGCCGCAGCCGGAGCCGGGGCGCCTGGAGGCGGTCGGGCCGCACTCTCCGAGCCCAGAGCAGCGGAGAGACCGCGCGGCGGGGCTTGGGGCGGAGACGCGGTGTCGGGGCCGAGGTGGGCCGAGAGCAGCCGCAGCCCGAGCGGCCGGAGCCGCGCCGGGTCCCTCCCCAGGGACGTCGAGGCCGGGCGGGCCTGGGCCATGCGCGCAGCTCGCTGAGGCCGAGGGAGGCCGCGATGGAGGCGCCGGCGACCGAGCCCCCGGTCCCGGGCTGCGGTCCCCAGCCCGCGCCCGCACCCGCGCCCGCCCCGGAGAGGAAAAAGAGCCACCGCGCGCCGTCGCCGGCCCGGCCCAAAGACGTGGCCGGCTGGTCGCTGGCTAAGGGCCGCCGCGGCCCAGGCCCGGGCACAGCCGTCGCCTGCAGCGCCGCGTCCTCCGCACGGCCGGACAAGAAGGGGCGCGCGGTGGCGCCCGGGGCACGGGGCGCGGGGGCGCGGGTGGCTGGGGTCCGCACCGGGGTCCGTGCCAAGGGCCGTCCGCGGCCGGGTGCGGGGCCGCGACCGCCACCGCCACCTCCCAGCCTCACGGATAGCAGCTCGGAGGTGTCGGACTGCGCGTCGGAGGAAGCGCGCCTGCTGGGCCTGGAGCTGGCGCTGAGCAGCGACGCCGAGTCCGCGGCCGGAGGCCCTGCGGGGGTCCGCACAGGGCAGCCGGCCCAGCCGGCGCCTTCGGCGCAGCAGCCCCCGCGGCCGCCCGCCTCCCCGGACGAGCCGTCGGTGGCTGCGTCGTCGGTGGGCAGCAGCCGCCTGCCGCTCAGCGCCTCGCTCGCCTTCTCCGACCTCACCGAGGAGATGCTGGACTGCGGGCCCGGCGGTTTGGTGCGGGAGCTGGAGGAGCTGCGCTCGGAGAACGACTATCTCAAGGTGGGGGCGCCCGGGGGAAAGGGGGACCGCGGGGGGCACCGGCTGTCACAGTCCCGCGGGCCTGAGGCACCAGCCGGCCCTCCTTCCCACTGAAGAATCCGGAGAAAGAGGCCCAAGCCCTCTGGGGACCACTCTGAGGTGGATCTGGGGCTCCCTCATTCCCCACCGCCTCAACTTTATTTGGGAAGCATGCTCCTGAAAAAGACCTTGGAACTGGCCACAGGGCCCTAACCTGGGAGCGGGGACTTGAGAAAACAGCTTTGGAGCGTTCTGGGGGGCGTTGCTGGGCTGGGGGTGGGTAGGCAGGGAAGGGATGGATCTCTGCCTTCAGCTGCCCAGAACCTCCACGCCCAGGCTCTCCTTCCTGGGACAAGATTGGTGGGCACCGCCGCCAGGGAAGCCTGTGGCCATCCCCTGCCCAGGAGAGGCCTGAATGCCACCCTGAGTCGTTACCCAGGGCTTTCCCGGGTGCAGGCCTGTCTCTGCCTGCCTTTCTGGGCGGGTCCAGTTTGAAAGCATGACATCTGGGAACATCCCCTTGGCTGGAGTCCACTTCCGCCCAGCCTAACGGTCCCACAGCCTGGAGGATGATGTCGTGGGAGAACCGGTTCAGAGGCAGCTTCCTAAATCCCAGGGCTGTGTTTTGCCCTCCCTGGGGCAGACCTTGTGCACACAGCAGCTCCACTGGCCCCTTGTGGCCAGTGCCTTTCCATGTTCCCAGTGAGAGGAGGGTAGCTGCCCACCTGGAAGGGGCCTTCCCTGTGGCCATGTGGGGACCCCAGGGCTTCCCCCGGACAGCAGGCTTTGCGTTTGCTTTTTCAGTGGATGTGAGCACCTACTGGGTGCCGGCCAGGCTCCATCTGCGCGCTTCCTGGTGCTGTGGCAACTTTAGGGACAGCCCAGCTTGCACGTGTTGACCTCTCCCTGGGAGGCTAGAAGCTTCCTGAGCTCTCCTGCCACTGGCTGGGCACGGTTTTGGAGGAGGCTGAAATGTTGCCGACTCTTGACAGTGAATGGCCTGGCACAACACCCAGAGTGCCCCTGGCCGTGGCGCTCACAGCATGCTGCTGATTTATGTCTGCCCTGCAGCACTTAGCTTTTAACTTTTCCTTGTGGCTATTCTGGCCAAATGGGCTTCTCCCTCATTAGAGTGTTGGTGTCTTGCTCAACTGTGTCTCTGTCTCCCCATTTTCCCCGGGATCTGCTCTCCAGCTTGAGTTCTGTAAATGCTTGTAGTGTGGAAGGACAAGGTCTGTCTGAATCAAGAGACACCGTTCCCCAAGCCAGGCCTCAGTCTCCTCATCTGTTAAATGGGAGGATGTCTTCCCAAGGGCCTGGTTCGGTGTTGGCAACTGGGAGTTCAGTCGGCTCTTAGAGTCTTCAGAAGCTGGTGGTAAGGAGAGGGCAAGTGGAAGGTGAGGAGGAAGAGGGAGGCGACCAGCCAGGACAAGGGTCTTTTGCTCCTGCCCTCTTGGTGCTCTGAGCTGCTTCCAGTGAGTGCTGCCTGAATTGGCGTTAACCGAAACTCTGAGCTCCTCACCCCTGCCTCCCAGTTCCTGCTACTCACTCTGGTGAGGGGGGGATGGGTTGCAGAGCTTTGCTTCAGGGCTCCTAGGCACCCATCCCCATGGGCTCCTCTCCGTCCCAGGAAGTCATCAGGCTCCGACCCAAAGTCCATTTGAGGCACCCATGACTGTTTAAAGGGGAAAACATTCCCAGGAGGCTGGGGGTTGAGCCCGGGATCTCACAGGGGCCAGGGCCCAGCTGGGGACATCCCACATCTGGGCCAGCATGGAGCCGTAATTTCCACTGTTCATTCAGTGGCTCAGGCTTCATGCTGCTGTTGGGTCTGGGGTCTGTCGCTTCCTGACTGCCTGATCTTTGGCAAGTTACTTAACAGCCCTGGACCTTAGATTTCTCATTTGTAAAAATGGGACAGTAACACGCTTTCCAACCTCAAGGGTTAAATGAGCTGATGCCTGCAAACGCCATTAGAGCACCTGGTATGTAGTAAGCCTCCGATCACTGCTCTTGTCAGTGGCATGGGACACGTTTCCATGTGCACCCAGCCTGTTCTCTTGTGGGTTCTGTGAGGGCAGAGTAGATCCTCTTCATCGCCTAAGGCAGGCTGGGCTCTTTCTCCCGGCCCCTCCTTGGTTCATTCGCCCGCTGTTTATTTAGAACCTGCTGTGTGCCAGCACAGATCTGGGATACAGCTGTGGACGAGAGAGGGTGAGGTGTCTGTTTTCGTAGAGCTTTGGGGGAGACCGGAATTAAACAATAGTCATACAAGAAATCACAACACAGATCATAATGAGGGTGAAGGGGACAGTTTGCCAGGAGCACACAAAGGTTGGGGCTGAGGTAAGAAGATTTCAGGCTGAGGGAAACTGGAAAGAGCTTGTTGAGTTCAAGAACAGCGCTGAGGCCAGAGAGGGGAAGGAGTGTGGGTGAGAGAGGAGAGCAAGGCCAGCCCATGCCACTTCTCACTGTGTATACATTTGGGTTAGCCCCTTAACTTGTCTGGATATCTGTGTATCCCAGCCGCCAGCCTCACAGAGGCAGGGTCAAAATCCAGAGATTGAACGTGGACCACAGAGGGGTTATTACTGGAGGTGTTGTTTTGTTTATTCCACAGATGGGAAAACTGTGGCCAGAGTGGGGAAGAGACTTGCTCCGGGTCCCAGAGCCGGGAATCTAGGCTGCCAGGGCTTGGAGTAAGCGTGTGTTAGACTCTTTTTTTTTTTGAGACGGAATTTCACTCTTGTTGCCCAGGCTAGAGTGCAATGGTGCGCTCTCGGCTCACAGCAACCTCCGCCTCCTGGGTTTAAGCCTTTCTCCTGCCTCAGCCTCCGGAGTAGCTGGGATTACAGGCACGTGCCACCACGCCTGGCTAATTTTGTATTTTTAGTAGAGATGGGGTTTCTCCATGTTGGTCAGGCTGGTCTTGAACTCTGGACCTCAGGTGATCTACCTGCCTCGGCCTCCCAAAGTGCTGGGATTACAGGCGTGAGCCACCGCGCCCGGCAGCATGTGTTAGACTTGTTTTTTTTTTTTTTGAGACGGAGTCTCTGTCGCCCAGGCTGGAGTGCAGTGGCGGGATCGCCGCTCACCGCAAGCTCCGCCTCCCGGGTTTACACCATTCTCCGGCCTCAGCCTCCCGAGTAGCTGGGACTACAGGCGCCCGCCACCTCGCCCGGCTAGTTTTTTGTATTTTTCAGTAGAGACGGGGTTTCACCGTGTTAGCCAGGATGGTCTCGATCTCCTGACCTCGTGATCCGCCCGTCTCGGCCTCCCAAAGTGCTGGGATTACAGGCTTGTTAGACTCGATGTGTTTTCTGCCTTTCTGGACTACTTTGCCTCTAAGATGCGGAAACTGAGTACAAGGGAAAGGACTCCAAATCCCCAGAATGTCCCCTGCAGGAGCAGAGTTGAAGGAGGTCCCACCACGTCTGGTGGATGGCCCTGCTCAGGCTTACCTCCCCCTTGTAGGGGTCACTGGGAACTGTCTACTGGGAAGGACTCTTGGGTGATCTCCAGTCTGGTGTGGCCTGCTCTGGGGCCCAAGTGAGGAAAGCATAAATTGGGCAGCTGTCTCCCAGTGAGAAGATAGAAGGAGCTTCTACAGAGAAGGTAGTGAGCTTACTGTCACTTTAATTATTCAGAAAGAGGCCAGATGACCTTTCATGCTTGGATAAAGACAGAGGGTTTGTGGAATGATTGCTTGAGGAGGGTTCAGAGGGAGATTGATGTGGTGGCTGCAGCTGAGCTGCCTGACCTTGGGTCCCTTCTAGCCAAGGAAGTCTGAAGGTTATTAACTACTGAAGTTCCAGGATGCTAAGATGCAGCTTTAGCTGCAGAGCAGACACGTCACCTGTGACCTTCAAAGACCCGGTGATCTGAGGTCTTCCAGCCTTTCATCACCACTAACCGTTAAGCATGTACCATGTGACCAGGACATGTAGGAACCCACTGGGTGTGGATGGAGGAGTCTGAGAGTTGGAGCCTGAAGACCTGACTTTGAAACCTGACTCTCCCATTTACTGTGTGGCCATGGGCAAGTTACCTGGCTTCTCTGAGCTGCTTTTTTTCTCATCTATATAATAAAGGTGATGGGGCCTGGCGCGGTGACTCATGCCTATAATGCCAGCGTTTTGGGAGGCCGAGGCGAGCGGATCATCTGAGGTCAGGAGCTCAAAACCAGGCTGGCCAACATGGTGAAACCCCATCTCTACTAAAAATACAACAATTACCCAGGCGTGGTGGCACGCGCCTGTAATCCCAGCTACTCAGGAGGCTGAGGCAGGAGAATCACTTGACCGTGGGAGGCGGAGGTTGCAGTGAGCTGAGATCGCGCCACTGCACTGTAGCCTGGGAAACAGAGTGAAACTCTGTCTTAAAAAAAAAAATAAGTAAAGGTGATGGAACCTGCCCGGACAATCTCATATGATTGTCATCAGGAATCAGGGAAGTATGAATAGACAAGAAAACATTTTGCTAGCAGTGAAATCCCAAGTCACCTGAGGAATTGTTGTTATTCATAGCCAATGGGCAGACAGGAGGTCTGTGTCTGCATTCTTGGAGGAACTGGGAGAATGCAGGAGGGTGGATTTCCTTAGTTTTAGAATGTTGATACATCAGTAGCTGTCCCAGGGAGGATGGGAAGATGTGATCACCTTCCCTGCCGTGTGTGAGGGCTCCCTCCTGGGTGATTCTAGATGTGAGTGTTTGAAGTGCAGCCAGTCTAGGTGTCAGCTCAGAAGGGCCTGGAGGAAGCACCTAATCCATCCCCGCTTGCCATTTTACAGATCAGTAAATGGAGGCTCTAAGTTACATAACCAGGATTCCAACCAGGTTGGTCTAACTCTGGGCCTGTTCTTTCTGCAGTGTGACCAGAGCAGTGAGCTTTTGGTTGCTAACTAGCGTGTCTAGGCTGGGACACAGGTTGGTGAGAGGAATCCTGTCATGGGCCAGGCTCTAGGCTAAGGCATGCTGGGGGC